AAGATACGTTTTTTTTGCCCTTATCCCATTCAATTACGAGTTTATCAATTGCGAGAGTGTTCTAAATTGTCGTACTATTGTCTTAACACTTTCGTTTCGCATATCGGAGCCTTTAATAATTGGATATCGCTCGAAATATGAGAGCTCGACGTCATTTTGGTTCTGATCTGGGCTAAGTTAACAAATTTTCATTTAAAATCCAAATTTTTAATGTGTCAGGACAATTCTTTGATGTGTCAGCGTTTCGGATAGTTTGGTCCAATACCCTTAAAAAAAAGTGTTCTATTCGAACCGACTGATTTGAGAGGGGGTTTCACTTCACTTTAATTTAATCCGCCTCCGGGGAAGCACCGGGAACAAAATCGGCATAAAAACGCGTCTGGTTGTCAGAGGACACGAAAAATGACTAAGCGCTCCGATAAAGATCGCATAATCACGTGTGAAATGTCTATCAATCAAGAGGTGATCGCTCCATCCCTACTCGTCTAATGGATTTTTTTCGTCTCATCTTAAAATTCCATATAAACATTGATTCAAGAACTCGGGAACAGAAATCCGACAAGCCAAAAAGCACCGGATCACTCGGTACATATCAGCTGCGAAAAAATGCCGCTTATAATTGTCCTAAAAAAGAAGGAATAAAGAAAATTAAAATCAGCGTCCGATGATTTTTGGCAGAGCGGTCAGGAGGGGGATTTTTTTTTTANTTCGCCGCAAATCGGGGCCAGCCGGATCAACATATGCCCCCACCTACAGAAAAAGGGGTAATCAGCCCTCCAAAATTAATGCGACCGGTGGCCCAAAATCCACTACGTAACAATATATATCTTACATACGTTTAATAAACATTTATATACGATTAATTTACGGATATCCCACGTTCCCTGGTGCCTGGGAGGAGTCTAACCAATGTAAAAAAAAAAATACAAACGTAACTCGGACTCGAAATTCGCACGAGTATAATCGATGGGCACGGGTCGACGCATCTCCGCAAGATGAGATACAAAATATGAACGCGATTGCTCTAATGACCGACCGTGACGTCTTGTTTCATCACTCCCCGTCACCGGTATACGCAACGTACATTTGCCTAATTGACGGATGTAACCTACGATATATATCGTGACGCTAGCCAGAGTTATAAATACCGTGATATTTATCACGATAGACAGATGTACCTTTATCTCCAGTCGTATTTACATACCCCGGTGAACAGGGAATCCCCGCAGGCTCTCCACTGAAAGGTCTACCGAATGTTTCGTAAAGCCGATAAATAAATAAATAAATTAATAAATATGTTCCGTAACAAAAATTGCCCTGGTCACTTTGGTGCCCGATACATTTATCGGCCCATAATTATGAAAGTGGTCAGTCATATATTTTTTGTTTCGAAATTACATTGAATTAATTTCGTTTAAAATAATATGGCGTGAAATAACTGATAAACTCATTTTTTTTTTTAATTTTGACTTAGACCACTTTCATAATTATGGGCACAAATCTCTCTTGCCGGATGTGGAGAGAAAAAAAAAGAAATAATGAAAATCGGAGAACGCCTTTTCGAGAATCCTTAAGGTGATATGAAAGTGTCAGATATACTAATATATATACACCAAACAGTCAATATATTTATCAAACTTTTTTTTATAAATTGGGTGCACCGAATCATTTGACATTTCATCACGAGATTACGGAGGCCCTAAGGAAGAACGCGAGTCTCGTGAAATTTCATTAAAAAAAAAATTGTGTATTTATCTCTTTATATATAAATTTACCTTTTTATTTATAAAAATATGTTGACTTTTTGGTACGTATATATCCCCTTAAGGTGATATGAAAGTGGCATCTGAGGAGTTAATAGTTCATGAAGCTTTTCTCCGAACTGGGTGTACCGAATCGTTTTGAATTTTATAATATGAACATCGAGACTACAAGGAAGGTCCTGACGCTAATAAAATTTCATGACTGCCAGGACCTTCCTTATAGGTTTCGTGTTCATGTCTTCAAGTTTGAAACGACTCGGTACACCCATGTCGATAAAAAGTTGGATAAAGGAGATCTCTTTGACGTCACTTTCACATCGCCTTAACGGCGCTTGCGTAGACGGGCCGCGTAGGAAAAAGAGTCCCATGGAAAGGAGGAAAGTACGTCACGGCGGAGGTAATTCTCAAATTAAAGTTACGTGACGAGGGAATCTCGTCGGCATCGGGAACAGGCCATAGAACTTCCGTTTAGCGAGATCCTCCTTTCTCGGGTGCATACGCCCCCGGACGTCGAGGCGGGAATTTCAGCTCATATTAAGGTGAATTGAAACACGTCGAGGAACTTGATCGACGTCGATAATGAAGATTTTTCTAAATACCTACGTTGCCGATGTTCGTTCTTATATCGACAGCTGGGTCGAATTATATTGGGTATTGTACCAAATGGCATCCTCCACCTGTCGTTTTCGTACAATAATTATAAAGAAATCGAAGGAAAACTCCAGAAATCCTCTGGATTCATGCTTTCTGGGGCCCTAATTGACTGAAGAGGGACCCCCTGAGCCATCTATGATTTCCGGGTCAATTAAATTTTCACTCCGAGACCTCGTATTACCATCGTTTTAGCATAAAAGTGCATAAGACACTTTTTTTGCCTTTATCCCGTTCAAACGCGAGTTTATCAATTACCAGAGTGTTCTAAATTGTCGTAAAATTGTCCTGACCCTTTCGTTTCTCATATCAGAGCCTTCGATAATTGTATACTGATGGAAATATGAGAGCTCGACGCCACTTTGTTTCTAAGTTAAGGAATTTTGTTTTCAAAATCCAAATTTTTAATGTGCCAGGACAATTCTTAGATGATCACTTATGTGCAAAGTTTCGGGCAGTTTGGTCCAATACCCTTAAGAAAAAAGTGTTGCATTAAAATCGACTGATTTAAAGGGGGTTTCAAAATCCAAATGTTGAATGTACCAGGACAATTCTTAGGTGATCACGAGTCACGTGTCAAAATTTCGGGCAGTTTGGTCCAATACCCTTAAAAAAAAGTGTTTTATTCGAGTCAGCTGACTCGAGGGAGGTTTCACTTCGCCTTAACGGTGAGACCTGAGAATTCCCGAAATCCTCCGAAACCCGGCGAAGCTCTCGTCTCGTCCAGGCCGGAAGATGTCAATTTCTGCAAACGAAAAGGTGTTAAAAGTATACCTCATTTACGCATTCTATCCGAGAATAGGTTTTCCTGAATTCCGCCGGTTACAGGACCGGTGAATCAATGTACGTAGGTGCCGATTTACCGCATAGGAGAGGGCGCGCGCGTCGGTGCGTCCTATTTAAAGGCAACTGCAAAGCGGCCCGTAGTAAGAGCGAGAACTAATGCAGATTGCAGGTGCGGCCGCGTCACTTGGTGACGTAAACATTCTGCAACTTTCTGACGCATCCGTCGGTGGACCGTGGTGTTGCTCGGTTGGGATTCTTCGGGTGTGACGTCAAGCTGGTCGCCGAAGCACGCCTTGTCTCGTACCTATACAGACAACTGTAACCAGAGATGGGCTTCTAAATTTTCGTCACAGGGTAGAGCGACATAAAACTCAAATCTCGACTTTTCGAGGCTAGCAATCGAAACCAAGGAAGGTGAGGTCCCGACCTAACCCCGTCACTACTATAATATTAATCCTTAGATTAGTCTACATATCTAGAGCCTAAGTATAATTTTAGGAAACGCGCTCTAAATAAATATCAACCAGTACCCTGCCCTCGCTTATACTTATTCTTGTCCACAATGAGTCCCCAGTCGCTCCGGAACCTTCGATCGGAAAACATCCCTGGGATTTTTCCCAATTCTCAAGAAAACTAGAACACTCATGGATTGCTCATCCTCGACGAATCACCGAAGAGAATTCCCTCCTGAACCTATGATCCGACCAATGAGGTTTTAGGTTTAAAATATGCGTACACGACCTTACGTTAATAGATTTGTTCGTTTTGCCTACCCTTTCTACACTTTTACGAAATGTGTACACTTTGGCGCTCGTTTTTACGGAAATGACGCAACATTGCTGTTTGTTACGCGAGGGCATCTACCCCGAGGGTACACTTTCTCTACACTTTCTACCCTCGATCCCGAGCGAGTGCAAGAAGGGTAGTCCGCGAATTTGGCGGCAAATTTCAAAATTGAAAGAACCAACAAACAGGAAAATATAAAATTGATGCTAACATCTCAACGTAATATAAATAGAATTATCAATGCATATTCTTCATGTATATAACGATTTAGCGTTTTAGTTTTGTACATAACGTTTGAAAACAATTTACAACAATTATGTATTATTAACTAACGTCAACGAAAGTGTATCTACCCTTCTGCACTTTTCAAGAAAAATGTAGTACCCTCGTTACCCTCGAGTGTAGAAAGTGCAGTCAACCCGAACAAACCTAAAAGTATAAGCTATGAATTTGGCGGCAAATTTCAAAATTGAAAGGACCAACAAACAGGAAAATACAAAATTTATGCTAACAACTCAACGTAATATAAATAGAAGTAATTATTAATGCATCTTCTTCGTGTATAGAACGATTTAGCGTTTTAGTTTTGTACATAACGTTTAAATCAATTTACAATAATTATGTATTGCTACCTAACGTCGACGAATGTGTATCTACCCTTATGCACTTTTCAAGAAAAGTGTAATACCCACGTTACCCTCGAGTGTAGAAAGTGCAATCAACGCGAACAAACCTAACAGTATAAGCCATGAATTTGGCGGCAAATTTTAAATTTGAAAAGACCAACAAACAGGAAAATACAAAATTTATGCTAACATCTCAACGTAATATAAATAGAAGTAATTATCAATGCATCTTCTTCATGTATAGAACGATTTAGCGTTTGTTTTGTACATAACGTTTAAAACAATTTACAATAATTATGTATTCCTACCTAACCGCAGTTGGAATGAACTAAACTATAATTTTTCCCTGTTGTAGTTAAATTGTTTTTCATTCCCCTGCAATAATATTCTGACCCTCATTGATCCTCAATACCTGAAATGCTTGAAAGGAATTTTCATCTTCTACAATTACAAGGTAACAGGATACAACGGGTTAAAGGGCGGCCAGATCAGCGCAAACCTCCCTGGAAGAATACTGCAAATAGTTTATTACTGTATCCTATACGACTTTTCTTTTTTTTCAATATCCCTATATTTACGTGAACATTCTAGGGCTCGCATCTGCTTCGACAACAGGCGTACAACCATTCCGAGAGTATGATTAACTTTTTACAGATCGGAGTATTTACAGAGTTCTGAAGTCGCCGATAACGCTCTAACAGCTGGTGATAACAATGCTTTCACCGAGAAATTTCGGCGTGGAAATAAATATATCAAGAGAGAGAGAGAGAGGGAATACAAAAGAGATAGAAAGAGAGAGATCGACGTCCTCGGGAGTAAGCGTCTAGACGAGAAGAAACCTAAGAGAGTCGCAAGGAAAGTTAATAATAATCGACTTTATTCCTTACTCTATCACACTGATAAGTGGGTGGCCTGCAAGTGATTAGAAAAGAGAAATGAAAATAATAAAATAAAAAGAAGAAAGAAAAAAGAGAGATAGAGAGAGAGAACGAACACTATCCTAGGTATAAATCTTGTACTTGAAATTATACGCTTACGTATGGTACAAATTCAATCCGCAACGGCGCTGCATACATTACGAGGAGAGTTATATACACTTAATGAATATTTACACTAGCCAGAACACTCGGCCACGTTCTAACATATATATTAATGTCAAAAGTCGAACACGAGGGATGGCCTTTGATGAGTATCAAAATTGAGCACATTGCATTCGGAGTCCTCACCGATACACATAAGCGACTCGGGACTGACATTTGCAATGTTCGATTAATAATCCATAACCGGTCTACGCCCCCCCGCCTACGGGGAATTTGTAAGTAAACGTAAACGCACAATTGTTCACACAACGATACAAAGTAACTGGAGGACCTCTAAACGGCGATGACAACGGTTCACATTTCACACGACGAAACTAAACGATCAGACCTGACATCATCATATCTCCTGAGGAAATCGACCTAAGACTCGTATTAAGCACCTCTTCCGAGCGGAAGTACTTAAAGCATACCATGTCTCTAAACTAAATTTAATTTAAAACGATAGTACCGACCTTCCACGTTAACAAAGATAGCTCGCACAGCGTGCGGTGTAAAGAAGTCCCTAAAAGTGTACAAATAAAAAGTACACGTATGCTCAGCCTTGGAATACCTCCCAGGAATGCTTTCGATTCTCTCAAGGTCCATAATCCTAAACAAATAAAATTTCACGCAACTCGCTGTTCGTATGCCGTACCGAGCCTGCCCATACATATGCACAATTCGGCCTAAGACAAAACATCTTCACGGAAAGTAGTTTCTCTTTCTTTTTCTCTTTCGTTTCCCCTAGGGATTAGGCGCAAGTAGAACCTCGCGGGAAAAGATCATTGGCCGGCATGCATTTCTCTGACAACATGTTCAACGCGACCTATCATATTTCTCCTAGTGATACAACTAGTGCGAAACAATAGCCGACAGGAAAGAGCAATCAAGAGAATGCGAACTCTCTTGGGAGAAGGTCTCTCAGTCGGTCGGCAATTTATAACGAAATGTTCCCCGGTATGCTGTACTGCCCAAGCCTGGAATGCGTGTCGACGGCTCTTACGGCGAAGTAATAATTGTTGCCCTCGGAAAACTGAAATGAAAAAGCAAATATAATAATAACAATTAACGGTTAAGTGCATCGAGACAGAAGCATCGGTTAAGGTGAAGTGAAACCCCCCTCAAATCAGTCGATTCTAATACAACACTTTTTTATTAAGGGTGTTGGACCAAACTGGCCGAAACTTTGACACATGACTCGTGATCATCTAAGAATTGTCCTGACACATTAAAAATTTGGATTTTGAAAATAAAGTTCTTTAACTTAGCCTAGACAAGAACCAAAATGGCGTCGAGCTCTCATATTTCCATCAGTATACAATCATCGAAGGCTCTGATATGAGAAACGAAAGGGTCAGGACAATTTTACGACAATTTAGAACACTCTGGTAATCGATAAACTCGCATTTGAACGGGATAAAGGCAAAAAAAAAGTGTTTTCTGCGCTTCTCTGCCAAAACGATGGGAATACGAGGTCTCGGAGTGAAAATTAAATTGACCTGGAAATCACAGATGGCGCCGGGGGTCCCTCTGCAGTCAATTAGGGCCCCAGAAAGCATGAATCCAGAGGATTTCTGGAGTTTAACTCCGATTTCTTAATAATTATTGTACGAAAACGAGAGGTGGAGTATGCCATTAAGTGCAGTACCCAACATAATTCGACAGAGCCGTCAATATAAAAACGAACGTCGGCAACGTAGGTATTTAGAAAAATGTTCATTATCAACGTCGATCAAGTTCCTGGACGTGTTTCACTTCACCTTAAAAAAGAGATGGGAGTATCGTTTACCTGGGTAAGGGTGCACGCCATTGGCAGTGGCAGGGCTCGGACATCTCCGACCTTTTTCCAAAGGGTCGTACTAGGAGATGTCCCGACAGTCTCTTGATAAGCGTACAATTGATAACTAGCTATTTCGGCGTACTTATCCGAGAGGGTCATGTTCCAAGAGAGAACAATCCCTGGAACGATATAAACGATGGATAAGTAACACCGACATGGCCGATTCCGTTAAACTGGCTGACTTGAGATTTCATTATAATTTCAGGAGAAACAAAAAAACATACCATTTGTGACTTTCGATATCTTCAAAGACGGCGCGGGAGGTGGAAGCTTCAAATTAGGAATGGCCGGATAATTCGGACAATCTGGAAGAGGTGCTGGATGCTGTAGCAGTAACAAAAAAAAAAAGAAAGAATGAAAATGTGCGTTAGAATTTTTCTTCAAATTATTACGTCTATAAATAAATCAGACATCTATTTACCTTGAATAGTGTATTAGCAGGGGTAGTTAGTAACCTGACGGTGCCGTTAGCCACCGTCGAGATACCTATAACCGCATTAAAATAGAATTAATAAATAGCTTCATTCAATGCCAGGAAAATGTAAATGTTTTTACTAACCTGTTTTATACGCGACTGCCGAGAACGGCGCTCTACTACCCGAGGTGACTGGTCGAATCTAAAAAGAGAAAAAGAATAAAGAAAACGCATCACATTAAATGAAATTAATTATCTAGCAGTATCGCAGTGATTATCTTCTCTGTCTTTTCAGAGAGTAACTCACCTGATTAGGATTGGACGTTATCAGCAGCTGCCTCGTTGATCCTATTCCACCCTGCATGACGTAAGTGACTCTCGAGGCGTTCATGTTATTCTGCAACAACGTAGCCCGAAGAGTAACAATGTAAATAAATTATAAACAAAAAAATTGCTTAGAAGAAAAGAAAAGGTTACTTACCACAAGAGCCGTCGGAGTGGGCTGGTTCGGAGGTACCAATCTAATACTGGCCTGTTGGGAGGCGATAGCAACACTTGCAGGAATGGTTTGCAGCACTCTTTGATAACGCGGCTGTGCTTTCACCAGAGCAGTGTTCTGCGCCTCTATCACCGTCGCCGTGTTCAGAGGTATAGTCGCAGCAATCGTAACTATAAAATAAAATTTATACCTCAAACGTCCAGAAATTATTAAAAATTCCAGCCAATCCAACCGACCTTTCGTTCTCTCCTCCTCGTCAGTGAGGTCGATAAGGTCGTTGTGCGTCTTCTGGACAGTCAGCGACGCGTTCTGCCGGTTAGGCGAACTCGGTAGTTTGCCGTTCACGATTACAGCCTGCTGCTGAAGAGAACTATTCTGATACTCTCGTTCCAGTTTTGGTATTTAAACTACATATATACACCCAGTGAACACTATTATACAACTGTTGGTTAAATGTTACGTTTTCGAAACTAACACGTTATGTAGCATAAAGGTAACATGGCAGTTAGATGTTAGTTATTATTTCCCACTCAGTAAGGTAACATGTTATATCAATGTTACATTAATGTTACAATTTCAGTTACCTTATAATAATATTAATTTTTCACCCATNTAAATTTTAATTCATTTTAAATTTAAAGGGGATGGAGTGATCCGAGCTTTAGAGGGGCGCTATCGTAATTCGGGAAGCACCGGCTTTAATCGCAGTAAAAGCGACCAGAGAACTGGCCGCGATTTTCTCGGTGATTCAAGCCCCACGGTCGCGTGCCTACCTCTCCCACCACCTCTTCTCGAGGAATCCCCGGCGTGTCTTCCTTCTTCAGGAAGGTCTCGAGTCGAGTGACGACTCCACGTGACATACCGGCTATCCGAGACCATTAAGGTGAAGTGAAACCCCCCTCCAATCAGTCGATTCGTATAAAACACTTTTTTTAAGAGTATTAGACCAAACTGTCACATGAATGGTGATCATCAAAGAATTGTCCTGACACATTCGAAATTTGGATTTTGAAGGAAAAATGTTCAACTTAGTCCAGAGAAAAACCAAAATGCCGTCGAGGTCTCATATTTCGATCGATATGCAATTATTGAAGGCTCCGATATGAGAAACATAAGTGTCAAAACAATAGTACGACAATTTAGAACACTCTGATAATCTATAAACTCGTATTTTAACGGGATAAAGACAAAAAAGTGTCTTATGCGTTTCTACGCGAAAACGATGGTAACACAAGGTCTCGGAGCGAAGATTTAGTTGACATGGAAATCACAGATGGCGCAGGGGGTCCCTCTGCAGTCAATTAGGGCATCGGAAAGCATGAATCCAGAGGATTTCTGGAGTTTTACATCGATTCCTTTATAATTATTCTACAAAAACGACAGGTGGAGTATGCCATTTAGTACAATACTCAATATAATTCGACACAGCTGTCGATATAAAAATGAACGTCGTCGTGTTTCGCTTCACCTTAAGGTTTAATTAACCATCTATTGTAGATATCTACGATATATATTATGTATAATATTTATAATATATATAAGGCAATATATATATCTTACATACGTTTAATAAACATTTATATACGATTAATTTACGGATATCCCACGTTCCCTGGTGCCTGGGTTTCTAAAATAGAGTTCATAGATATCAATATATATGTTTCATACGTTTAATAAACATTTATATACCATTAATTTACGGATATTCCACGTTCGAAGTAATTTCTATGGCTCTTCGGTACATTGTGAGGATGACCTCGAGTTTCCCATAGGCCTTAACTTGAATCTATACGTCTATCTTACATACGTTTAATAAACGTTTATATATGATTAATTTACGGATATTCCACGTCCGGACACCTAGCCTTTGAATGTATCTACAATATAGTTCGTAGATATCTATATATATCTTACGTACGTTTAATAAACGTTTATATATGATTATTTTACGGATATTTCACGTACGGACACCTAGTCTTTGACTGTATCTATAATATAATTCCTAGATATCTATATATATCTTAAATACTTAATATTTTAGGTCTTACAGGCATTTCAAGTTATGGTGGGCCTTATTACCTAAAGTTATCTTACAAGGCCTGTTGATCCCGCAGATTTGAGAAGGTGTTATCTATAACAGCATGGCACTTTTTCTCCAAACTGAGGATATTAAATTATCTAAAACATTAATACGTGATTATGAAGGCTCTAAGGAAATATGCGATGCTTTGTGAAATTTCATTTTTCGAAAAAGAAAAAATGTCTATTTTTGGTTCTTGTCTGACAAACACAAATTTGTTTTCCAAAAATGAAATTTCATATGAATCGCGGTCTTTCTACGTTTCGGAATACATAGAATGATCCTTTCAGCGAAATGTTAATAAATAAATATTTAAGTTTAAGGTTTGTATCTATAGACCATCTATTGTAGATATCTACGATATATGTATATATATTTCGTACGATGTCCAGACATCCAGCTTTTGAGTGTATCTAAAATAGAGTTCATAGATATCTATATGTCTTATATACGTTCAATAAACATTTATATACGTTTAATTAATGGATATTCCACGTTCCATGGCAGGTGTATACGCTTAAATCCGTTGTTTGCTCATAAATTGCGTTAGTGAGCATATTAAGTTACTATGGACCCGCCATACTTTTGTTGGGTATGAGTTTGAAATTTGTCAACAATAACATTTATATACGATTAATTTACGGATATTCCACATTCCATGGCAGGTGTATAAGCTTANTAAATAAAGAACAATCTTGACGTGTTTTAGGTCTTCGCGCTTGTTGCGATATTGCTACAAATATCTATAGTTCATCTATTATAGATGTCTACTATATATATTACGTACCATGTCCGACATCTAGCCTTTGACTGTATCTAAAATAGAGTTCATAGATATCTATATATCTTATATACGTTTAATAAACATTTATATACCATTAATTTACGGCTATTCAACGTTCGAAGTAATTGCTATGGCTCTTCGGTACGTTGTGAGAAGGACCTCGAGTTTTCCATAGGCCTTAACTTGAATCTATACGTCTATCTGATATCTATATATCTTATATACGTTCAATAAACATTTATATACCATTAATTTACGGCTATTCAACGTTCGAAGTAATTTCTATGGCTCTTCGGTACGTTGTGAGAAGGACCTCGAGTTTCCATGGGCCTTAACTTTAACGGTTAAACAATATTAATTTATCCTAATAATTAATTCGAAAATTATCTGGGTTTGCGATACCCACCCACGCACCATACAAACCAATTGTTAAATAAAGAACGATCTTGACGTGTTTTAGGTCTTCGCGCTTGTTGCGATATTTGCTACAATCGTGACTGCTCTTCCTCAGCCGAACTACGAGCAGAGTCGTCAGGGTCAGTCCTATGGCAGCAGCCGAAATGAAGGATTTGGAGATGTAGGCGGCAGCACCTACGACCAGCAACAACGACAACAGCCGTATAACGCTCAAGTGAAAACTGGAGCTTATGGCGACCGAACGGGATCCACAGGTTATGGTGATCATAGAGGAGGGTCTGCAGGTTATGGCGACCATAGAGGAGGATCTGCAGGTTATGGCGACCATAGAGGAGGCCGGGAAGAGTACGGTTCCCATCGTGGAGGCCAAGGTCAATACGGAGAGCACAGAGGTCATCAAGGAGGCTACCAACAACATGGATATTAGAACAATCCTTATGTCGAATGAGAGAAATAAAAAACATCAACCGTCGAGGGTTTTCGTAAAGTCTGAGAAAGGGAAATCGTGGGGCTAAATTTAAATCCCTTGTTTTATTAATTCACCGAGGAGATAGGATTAACATTAATGTCGTACATGGGAGGGGATGAACGATGCAGATGTATTAGATGGATTTTAGTAAAACGATGTCCAGAATTGAATGTTTATAATGTAATTCCCGGGTCTGGTTTAGGAGGATCTTTTAAGATGACACGAAAAGATCAGCCTATATTGAATTGAGAGGTTTAATCTGGTTTAATCATGTATGAACTCGTGCTTTATTGTGTTTGTAACTGATTTTAGTAAAACGATGTCCTAAACTGAATGTTTACACCGTCATTCCCCAGCCTGATTTAGGAGGATTTTTTAAGGAGACATGAAAAGATCAGCTTATATAGATCTGAGTGGTTTAACCATGTATAAACTCGTGCTTTATTGTGTAACTGATTTTAGTAAATTATGTCCTAAACTGAATGTTTACACCGTCATTCCCCAGCCTGATTTAGGAGGACCTTTTAAGGCGACATGAAAACATCAGCCTATATAGATCTGGCAGGTTAAATCATGTATTAACTCGTGTTTTATTGTGTTCATGACTAATTTTAGTAAAACGATGTCCTAAACTGAATGTTTACACCGACATTCCCCACCCTGATTTAGGAGGATATTTTAAGATGAGATGAAAAGACCAGCTTATATAGATCTGAGTGGTTAACACGTTGAGTGCTACGCCGGTCCCTAGGGACCGGCAGTGGACTTTCCGTTCAGCCGCCGCCGGTCCCCAGGGACCGGCAGTCGATTTTTCGTTTAAGCGGTGTGGATTCTAGAAATGACTGCGAAATTCTCGTTTGATCGACATCAGTGCATAAGACCGATATTGTCAAGGGTTAAATTATAAATGACAATAAAAAATTTAAGTTAAAATTTAATGAAGTTTATTAAAACATTTTAAACAAAAATGTGGGTGAGATTGGCACATATCACAGTAGGTAACTACTTTTTTCGTGTTTTTCTTCGCTATGTCGCGCCCAAGCATTTTTGTATTCATGCTGTAACATTCAGAACTAAATGCTCTCTGCCGCAAAGAATCTTTATAATCCCGTGGCTTTTTTCGACTGATCTTCTTCTGGTGTTCGTTCTTTTGCCTTTCTGGCATTCCCGCCCCATTATCTTATGTTTATACATTATATACATGTGCATTGGCTGCACCATTCTCACAGTCTAAACGTCAAAGGAAACAGTGAAATAAAGTAATCCTCTGTTTATACTCTTCAGTCTAGTGAAGTGCTGATCGTCCTCGTCGCACGGCCTGGTAGAGCCCTTGGTATCAAGTGCTCACGCGCTGCCGCCTGAGCGGAAAGTATAGCAAAATCGGCGCCGCACTCAACGTGTTAAATCATGTATCAACTCGTGTTTTATTGTGTTCATGACTAATTTTAGTAAAACGATGTCCTAAACTGAATGTTTACATCGTCATTCCCCAGCCTGATTTAGGAGGATCTTTTAAGATCAGCCTACATAGATCTGGCAGGTTAAATTATGTATTAACTCGTGTTTTATTGCGTTTATGGCTGATTTTAGTAAAACGATGTGCTAAACTGAATGTTTACACGTGAAACGTTTCAGTTCGTATAATTCGCAACGTAGAGTGTAAAAGACCAACATGATTATAAGTTGTAGTTAAACGTCACAGATGGCGACGCTGGTCCTACACAGTCGTTAGAATAATGAATTCCCGGGATTTCGACAGTTTTACATTGATCTTTTCATTATTACTTTCCTGAAATGACACATGAAACGCTTCAGTTCGTATAATTCTCAACGTAGAGTGTAAAAGACTTCAACATGATTATAAGTTGTAGCTAAACGTCACAGATGGCGACGCTGGTCCTAAACAGTCGTTAGAATAACGAATTCCCGGGATTTCGACAGTTTTACGTCGATCTTTTCATTATTACTTTCCTGAAATGACACATGAAACGCTTCAGTTCGTATAATTCTCAACTTGACTGTAAAAGACTTCAACATAAATATAAATGTCGGTAACAGGACGCGCCAGCTAATGTTACCACTTGAGGATTCAAAATGGCGTCCCACCGAAAAAGGGTACAGATGAAATTTACTTTATCGACGTCGATTAAATCTCTCGGCGCCTTTCATATCACCTTAAGACTGCCTCGTCCAAACTTTTCCTGCAGATAGATGAAGGATTCTTCTACCATTCTGCGGTTTGCAAATCGGTCGCAAAATTACAAAGAGAGGAACATGTAGGAAGAGGGATAAAAAAGTCAAAACCCTTTCATAAAACCCGTTTCGATGCATTTTTAACACGATATAAAACTTATTACTTATTTCCTTAACGTATAGTTTCACTTTAAAATTACTATATACTCCATTCTCGCAAAATTAGGATTTCTTTTACAAAACTATACAAGTTAAGGTGTCGCCCTCTCTTGGGCTATCCAGTAGATACCTACTCTAGACTCTGGAAAGATCTTTCACTTATAATGTTCGACTTAGTACATTCCTATACAGCCTGTAGTGCCTTTTTATAAGCTTTAAGGGGATGTGAAAGTGACACCTGAGAAGTCAATCGTTCGTGACACTTTTTTTACGATTAGAGTATACCGAATCGTATCAAACTTTACAACGTGAACGTGAAGACTATAAAGAAGGTCCTGACACCCGTGAAATTTCATTTTTGCTAAACAATTTTTGAAATACGTATAAATAAATTTTTTGAAAATTTTAACTAAACAATTTTTGAAATACGTATAAATAAATTTTTGAAAAATTTCAATTTCATGGGTATCATGACTATAAGGAAGGTCCTGACACCCGTGAAATTTCATTTTTGTAAAGAATTTTTGGAATACCTATAAACAAATTTTTGAAAAATTTAAATTTCATGGGTACCAGGACGTTGCTTATAGCCTCCACTTTAACGTTGTCAAATTTGAAACAATTCGGTACACCCAGTTCGGAGAAAAGTTTCATAAACGAGATCCCTTTGACGTCAGTTTCACGTCCCCTTAAAGTGACGTGAAAGTGCCATCTGAAAAATGAATCGTTCATAACACTTATTTACGAACTGGGTGTACCGAATCGTTTCAAACTTGAAAATATGAAAATGAATGCAATAAGGAAGGTTCTGACACTTATGAAATTTCAATTATTTAACAACTTGTCTATAGGTATTTTCAACATTTTTTATTAAAACAGTAATTTCATGAGTGCCCGGACCTTTATTATAGCTTTCATGTTCATATTTTCAAGTTTGAAACGATTTGGTACATCCAGTTCGATGAAAAGTTTCATAAACGAGATCCCTTTGACGTTAGTTTCACATCCCCTTAAAGTGACGTGAAAGTGCCATCTGAAAAATGAATCGTTCATAACACTTATTTAAGAACTGGGTGTACCGAATCGTTTTATACTTAAAAATATGAGCATGAAAGCCATAAGGAAGGTCCTGACACTTATGAAATTTCAGTTATTACCAACAATTTTGAAAAATACTTATGAACAAAACGTTAAAAATTGAAATTTCATGACTGCCGGGACCTCCATAGAGTTTTCATGTTCATATTTTCAAGTTTGAAGCGATTCGGTACACCCAGTTCGATGAAAAGTTTCATAAATGAGACCACTTATACGTCACCTTTACATCCCCTTAAAGTGACGTGAAAGTGCCATCTGAAAAATGAATCGTTCATAACACTTATTTACGAACTGGGTGTACCGAATCGTTTCAAACTTGAAAATATTAAAATTAATGCAATAAGGAAGGTCCTGACACGCATGAAATTTCAGTTTTTTACAACAATTTTGAAAATACCTATCAACAAATCGTTGAAAAATTGAAATTTCATGACTGTGTGGACCATTCTTATAGCTTTCATGTTCATATTTTCAAGTTTGAAACGATTCGGTACACCCAGTTCGACGAAAAGTTTCATAAACGAGACTTCTAATACGTCACTTTCCCGCCGCCTTAAAGTAAAGTGAAAAACCAATCGTTCATAACACTTTTTCACGAACTGGGTGTACCGAGTCGTTTTATACTTGAAAATATGAACATGAAAACTCTATGGAAGGTCCCGACAGTCATGAAATTTGAATTATTTAACGATTTGTTGATAGGTATTTTCAATATTCTTGATAAACACTGAAATTTCATGACTGTCAGGACCTTCCATATAGCTTTCATCTTCATGTTTTCAAATTTTAAACGATTCGGTATAGCCAGTTTGTAGATAAGTGACATGAACGATTAACTTTTCAGATATCACTTTAAGGCAATGTGAAAGTAACGTATAAGAGGTGTCGTTTATGAAACTTTACATCGAATTGGGTGTACCGAATCGTTTCATACTTGAAAATATGAACATGAAAGCTATAAGGAAGGTCCTGACACTCATGAAATTTCAGTTTTTCACAACAATTTTGAAAATACCTATGAACAAATCGTTGAAAAATTGAAATTTCATGACTGTCAGGACCTTCCTTATAGCTTTCATGTTCATAGTTTCAAGTTTGAAACGATTCGGTACACCCAGTTCGATGAAAAGTTTCATAAACGAGACTTCAAATACGTCACTTTCCCGCCGCCTTAAATCCGCCGAATAATTCCTTTGAAAATTACCCTTAAGTACTTATGTTACGTACGAAAAATAAAAACAGTCTTTTTGGCGCAATTTCGGAAAAAGAAAACGAAAAACATGGATCGAATGAGGCGCCGGACACATACATACAAAGAAAAATCAAAGAAATAAAAAACAAAAACGGAAAACATAATACTGTAGACATATATCTATATGTGTATACTTATCCTCAAATTTGTAGGAATAGACAAAGTATCATAGACGAGTTATTGTCAACGAGGCTCCATTTCTTCTTGGACGTGTTGCTGAAATGAGAAAATAAACAATAAATGTTAATACAAGTTAGGCATATTACGCACATTAAGAGGTTATGTTCAATAAACAGGATGCCCTGTTTCGGTTAAACTTTAAGGTGAAAAAATAGGGTGGAATTTTGAATTTAATTTTCCCTTTCGACTGTTAGAGTACTCCATTATTTACCGAGATATTAACAATTAAGGTGATGTCAAAGTGGCATCGAAGAGTTCCCGTTTATAAGGCCCTAATTAACCTCAGAGGGACCCCCTGTGCCATCTGTGATTTCCGTGACAACTAAATTTTCACTCAGAGACTTCGACATATATATCGAGTATTGTAATAAATGTCATACTCATCCTGCCGTTTTCGTACAATAATTATAAACAAAAAGCGAAGTGAAATTTCAGAAATCCCCTGCATTCATAGTTTCCGAGGCCCTTATTAACCTCAGAGGGACCCCCTGTGCCATCTGTGATTTCCGTGACAACTAAATTTTCACTCCAAGACCTCTGAGACCTCATCTTAGCAAAGCAGCGTATAATACACTTTTTTTGCCTTTATCCCGTTCAAATGCGAGTTTCTCGATTATCAGAGTGTTCTAAATTGTCGTACAACTGTCCTGGCACTTTTGTATCTCATATTAGAGCCTTCAATAATTGGATATCGATCGAAATATGAGAGCTCGACGCCATTCATCGACATTAAGGCGAAGTGAAACACGTCGAGGAATTGAATGGACGTCGGCAAAAAAGATTTCTCTACATACCTACGTTGCCGACGTTCGTTTTTATATCGACAGCTGTGTCGAGTTATATTGGATATTGTACTAACAAACCTATAATTATAAAGAAATCCAAGTAAAAATCTAGAAATCCCCTGGATTCGTGGTTTTCGAGGCTCTAATTAACTGCAGAGGGACCTCTGCGCCATCAGTGATTTCTGTGTCAACTAAATTTTCACTCAGAGACCTCGAATTATATTGAGTATTGTACTAAACTCATCCTGCCGTTTTCGTACAATAATTATAAACAAAAAGCGAAGTGAAATTTCAGGAATCCCCTGCATTCATAGTTTTCGAGGCCCTAATTAACCTCAGAGGGACCCCCTGTGCCATCTGTGATTTCCGTGACAACTAAATTTTCACTCAGAGACTTCGACATATATATTGAGTATTGTACTAAATGTCATACTCATTCTAACGTTTTCGTACAATAATTATAAACAAAAAGCGAAGTGAAATGTCAGAAATCCCCTGCATTCATAGTTTCCGAGGCCCTAATTAACGTTAGAGGGACCCCCTGCGCCATCTGTGATTTCCGTGTCAACTAAATTTTCACTCCAAGACCTCGTATTACCATCGTTTTAGCAAAGCAGCAGAGACTTTTTTGGCCTTTATCCGGTTCAAATTCGAACTTCTCGATTACCAGAGTGTTATAAATCGTCGTACAATTGTCCTGATCCATTCATTTCTCATATTGGAGCCTTCAATAATTGTATCTCGATTGAGGTAATATTGGACCAAATGTCGGACACCTTTAGGCGCTCTTAGTAGCCAAAGGGTTAAGGTGAAGTGAAACATCCTTCAAAACAGTCGATTCGAATACAACACTTTTTTTTAAGGGTATTAGACCAAACTGTCCGAAACTTTGACACATCACTCCTGATCATCTAAGAATTGTCCTGACACATTAAAAATTTGGATGTTTCAAAAAAATTTTGTAACTCAGTCCAGACCAGAACCAAAATGGCGTCGAGCTCTCATATTTCGATCGATATACAATTACCGAAGGCTCTGATATGAGAATCGAAGGGGTCAGAACAATTTTACGACAATTTAGAACACTCTGGTAATCGATAAACTCGCATTTGAACGGGATAAATGCAAAAAAAGTGTTGTATACGCTTCTATGCTAAAACGATGGTAATACGAGGTCTCGGAGTGAAGATTTAATTGACCTGGAAATCACAGATGGCGCAGGGGGTCCCTCCACAGTCAATTAGGGCCCCAGAAAGCATGAATCAAGAGGATTTCTGGAGTTTTACTTCGATTTCTTTATAATTATTGTACGAAAACGACAGATGGAATATGCCATTTGGTACAATACACAATATAATTCGACCCAGCTGTCGATATAAAAACGAACGTCGGCAACGTAGGCATTTAGAAAAATCTTCTTTATCGACGTTAATCAAGTTCCTCGACGTGTTTCACTTCCCTTAATCATTTCAAAGAGTCCATTATGTCGAAATTTCAGACAATTCTATCCAATGCTCTTAAAAAAAGTGTCTTATTCGAATCCACTGATCTAAGAGGGTTTCACTTCCCCTTAAATATATCAAAGTTTCGGGCGACCTGCTTTGTGTACTGGGTTCCTTTTAAAATGTATGAATGCTTTTTATGAATAATTACCGGCAGTACATGCGCGTTTGCGATCTGTTCGTGAGGGCCAGCGGAAGCTGGAGGCAATGTCGGTAATAGTTCTTCGGCATTGAGTTTAAGATTAGAGTCCTTTGTCTGCAACTTCTTCTGCGTGACTTCTGCTGCCTTAAGGACTGTCTCTGCATTCAGTCGTTTGTTATCGCTCCAGAGAGGACATCTGTTAACAGAAGACTCGAATGAGTGAGAAATGTCGAAGAGGTCAACCAATGAACATTAATGCCTTCCTTATGGATATACTAATTTCGATCCAGTACCTTTTAAAAAAAGTGTCTTATTCGGATCGACCGATTTGAGGAGGTTTCACTTCACCTTAAAGGGATATGAAAGGCGCTAAGAAATTTAATCAAGGTCGATAAATTGAAATTCATCTATACCCTTTTTGGGGGGAACGTCATTTTGAATACTCAAGGGGGAACATAAGATGGCGCGTCAGGTTACCGACATTTATATTTATGTTGAAGTCTTTTACGGTCTACGATAAGAATTATATGAACTGATGTGTTCTATATGTCATTTCGGGAAAGTAATGATAGAGAGATTAATGTAAAACTGTCGAAATCCCGGGAATTCATTATTCTAACGACTGTTTAGTACCAACAGCGCCATCTGTGACGTTTAACTGCAACTAAATTTTTCCTCTGAAGTCACGGGTTAGCGCCTTTCATATCATCTTAAGTTGGGAAATTTGATCAAGGTCGATAAATTATAACTTATCTATACCCTTTTTGGGGGGAATGTCATTTTGAATACTCAAGGGGGGACATAAGATGGCGCGTCCCGTTCCCGACATTTATATTTATGTTGAAGTCTTTTACAGTCTATATTGAGAATTATTCGAACTGAAGCGTTCCGTGTGTCATTTCGGGAAAGTAATAATAAAAAGATCGATGTAAAACTGTCGAAATCCCGGGAATTCATTATTCTAACGACTGCTTAGGACCAGCGTCGCCATCTGTGACGTTTAGCTACAACTTATAATCATCTTGAAGTCTTTTACACTCTACGTTGAGAATTATACGAACTGAAGCGTTCCATGTGTCATTTCGGGAAAGTAAGGATGAAGAGATCGATGTAAAACTGTCGAAATCCCGGGAATTCATTATTCTAACGACTGATTAATACCAACGGCGCCATCTGTGATGTTCCGCCACAACTAAATTTTTGGTCCAAAAACACGTTAGCCAGTATTCTCTTGCAATCATTGGTTGGACCTCTCAGATATATATAGAATGATTCTTTCATATCCCCTTAATGTTTAAAAATTCTCTGTACTTACAGATCAGTTCGTTCTGCGCCTTGGGCGTTTAAGTGTTTGTAATCGTTTACAGGATTGTTACATATGTACTTTTCGGACAGACCCTGAATAGAATGACCCTTTCGTATCCCCTTAATGTTTAGAAATTCTCTGTACAATGGCGGACATGAATGCCTCCCCTGCAGATACACGACATCGCCTGTGCAGGATGGGAGGGCATTGATGTCTCCCAGTGTACATACAGATCAGTTCATTCTGCGCCTTGGGCGTTTAAGTGTTTGTAATAGTTTACAGGCTTGTTACATAAGTAGCTTGTAATCGTTTACAGGATTGTTACATATGTAGCTTGTAATCGTTTACAGGCTTGTCACATATGTACTTTTCGGACAAACCCTGAATACAATGACGCTTTCGTATCCCCTTAATGTTCAGAAATTCTCTGTACAATGGCGGACATGAATGCCTCCCCTGCAGGTACGACATCGCCTGTGCAGGATGGGAGGGCATTGATGTCTCCCAGTGTACATACAGATCAGTTCATTCTGCGCCTTGGGCGTTTAAGTGTTTGTAATCGTTTACAGGCTTGTTACATATGAACTTTTCGGACAAACCCTGAATAGAATGACCCTTTCATATCCCCTTAACGTTCAGAAGTTCTTTGTACTTACAGATCAATTCGTTCTGCGCCTTGGGCGTTGAAGTGTGTGTAATCTTTTACAGGCTTGTTACATATGTAGCACATCATTGCCCCGCAAGGACACTGCATCTTGTTGCACCCTTCTTCCTTGAAGAAAGGCCTTTGGCACTTGTAACAATTACGAATTAGAGCCCGTGTCATCGACTCTTCAAGATGATGGCGAGCATCCTCCAGTTTCGATCGTTCATGGCAGCCATATGGGACGTGATTCAGTTCCTTGCAAAGTCTGAAAAGCATATAGAGGGATCAAACCTTTGAAATTAAGGTGAAGTGAAACCCCCTTCAAATCAGTCGATTCGACTACAACACTTTTTTTTAAGGGTATTGGACCAAACTTTACGAACTTTTGTCACATGACTCGTGATCCTCTAAGAATTGTCCTGACACGTTCAAAATTTGGATTTTTGGAAAAAATTTTTTAACTTAGCCCAGACCAGAACCAAAATGGCGTCGAACTCTCATATTTCGGTTAATATACAATTATCGAAGGCTCTGATATGAGAATCGAAAGGGTCAGGACAATTTTACGACAATTTAGAACACTCTGGTAATCGAGAAACAGGCAATTGTCTGAAACTTTAATACTAATTCATATCACCTTCATAGAGGTTAATAATGAACAACTACGATAATAATTCCCTCTTGACGTATCACAACAATTCATATTTTAGCTGTGTATATATCACCCTTTCATACCACCTTCATAGAGGTTAATAATTAACAACTACGATAATAATTCCCTCTTGACCTATCGCAACAATTCATATTTTAGCTGTGTATATATCACCCTTTCATATCACCTTCATAGAGGTTAATAATTAACAACTACGATAATAATAATACCCTCTTGACCTATCGTAACAATTCATATTTTAGGTGTGTATATATCAGACTTTCATATAACGTTATTGGAGGTTAATAATTAATAACTACGATAATAATTCCCTCTTGACCTATTGCAACAATTCATATTTTAGGTGTGTATATATCACCCTTTCATATCACCTTTATAGAGGTTAATAATTAACAACTACGATAATAATTCCCTCTTGACCTTTCGCAACAATTCATATTTTAGGTGTGTATATATCACACTTTCATATCACCTTAATAGAGGTTAACAATTAACAACTCGATACTAATATATTATAACTAACTACGATAAGAATTCCCTCTTAACCTATCGCAACAATTCATATTTTAGGTGCATCTTCCTTTACGTACCGACAGGATTCTTTCATACATTCTGGATTGTAACACTTGAAGACTTTATCTTCTGGCGGTGGAATGGATGCAAAATGGCAGAACGGACAGGAAACTAATCCTTCGAGGCTAGCAGCCATAACCTCCGCAGCCTGTCTCTTTTGTAAAAGGATGCTGAACTTCGTGGGCTTCAAAACTTCTTGCAGCGTGCTGATGATAAATTCTCCATCGCATTCGGTGAAGCATTTTATCCGCGTCTCACCTTCCGCCATTGTTATCTCCGTCCCGTGGACAATGCAGGAATGACAAAAGATGTGTCCATTATCGCATGTCGCACATTTAGAAGGCATGCACTCGTCGTTGAAACAACACTGGCACTCCAGCAACTCGTTCGAATCCTAGAACGAATAAAATCATGTTTCATTTTAAGGTTATGCGAAAGTGGCGCTGTTTGAAAACGAGCGCCGAGATAAGTTCCTGGCGGGTTAATTCAGAGTTCGTTGAATTTGCACAACGCACAAGCTTAAATGGGAACAATAACAATTTATTGTATTAATAAAATAACGGATAGAGGGTACAATTTGTCGATGTGCATTCGCGGTACTTTGCCGCACTCTGTCGGCGAAATATTACACTAAACGACAACTTGTAAGTCTGTACCTTCAGTTTTTGAAATTCCTCCTGTTCTTTCGTCCTCCTAACCTCCAAGAGCTTTTTAATTAAACACTTATGACGGATAAAGGCCATTTCTTGTAATGGGTTATCTGATGTTAGGAAAATTCAGAGCCTCCCAAACCTCGAAACCGTTAAAATGATAATTTTCGAAATTTGTTAATTTTTTTTAAATAGCTCTGGTTAAAAAAAAATGCCACAAACGTCTACATCGCAGAAACATTCCAATAAGCCTGTTAATTCTGTTTGTGCCTCTAAATAGGTTTCAAGTCCACAGAGCCGACTTTGCCGCACTCTGTCGGCGAAATATTACACTAAACGACAACTTGCGAGTCTGTACCTTCAGTCTTTGACATTCCTCCTGTTCTTTCGTCCACCTAATCTCCAAGAGGTTTTTAATTGAACTTTTATGACGGATAAAGGCCATTTCTTGTAATGGGTTATCCGATGTTAGGAAAATTCAGAGCCTCCCAAAACCTCGAAACCGTTAAAATGGTAATTTTCGAAATTTGTTAATTTTTTTTAAATAGCTCTGGTTAAAAAAAATGTCACAAACGTCTACATCGCAGAAACATTCCAATAAGCCTGTTAATTTTGCTTGTGCCTCTAACTGGGTTTCAGGTTCACATAACCGATTTTGTCGCGCTCTGGCGGTGAAATATTACACTAAACGACAACTTGCGAGTCTGTACCTTCAGTCTTTGAAATTCCTCCTGTTCTTTCGTCCTCCTAATCTCCAAGAGGTTTTTAATTGAACTTTTATGACGGATAAATGCCATTTCTTGTAACAAAGGAATGTCCTCCGTCGGTGTAATCCGATAAGGGCGACAGGTTTTCATATTCGGCGACAACAGTTCCAATTGTTCTGCGGTGTTCGTCAGATGGAATTTAGATGCAGAGTAGATTTTTGAAATTGTGTTGATCTGTAATGCAGAACAATTACATGTCTCATTATTGACGTTAATTGCTACATGACATTGACATATACATTTTTAATCATCTCCTTATTTGACATAGATCTATTTTTATTTATGGGATATATACATCTAACGATGCGAGCGCCACTTGCGGAAAATATGGGAAATGCAATTCTACACGAGCAAAACGTTTCCTACCGAAAATGCTTTTAATTTTGCAACTAAGGTACGCAAAGTGAAACGATAATCCGCATATGATATACAGAATGTGATATTTTTAACGCGATAAAGTCTAGCGGACGATAATTTTTAATTGCAAATTTCTCCGGAGGCGCTCTTGTCGCTAGATCGGAAAAATCTGAAGATCTTCAATCCCTAAAATTTGGGACGATTTTAATATATGGCAATGTATCTTCTTGTCATGAAGTAGTATAAAGAAATATAATGCCAATTGTCGGACTCCAGAATCTCAGATTTTTCGCTGATCTAACGATGCGAGCGCCACTTGCGGAAAATAAGAGAACTGCAATCCTACACGAGTAAAACATTCCCTACCGACGTAAATGACCTAAAATACTTTTAATTTAGTAATTGAGGTATGCAAAGTGAAACGATAATTTTTAATTGCAAAATTTCACCGAGGAGGCGCTCTTGTCGCTAGTTCGGAAAAATCTGAAGATCTTCAATCCCTAAAATGGGGACGATTTTAATATATGGCAATGTATCTTCTTGTCATGAAGTAGTATAAAGAGATATAATGCCAATTATCGGGCCCCAGAATCTCAGATTTTTCGCTGATCTAACGATGCGAGCGCCACTTGCGGAAAATAAGAGAACTGCAATCCTACACGAGTAAAATATTCCCTACCAACGTAAATGACCTAATATGCTTTTAATTTAGTAATTGAGGTATGCAAAGTGAAACGATAATCCGCATATGATATATAGAATGTGATATTTTAAACGCGATAAAGTCTAGCGGACGATAATTTTTAATTGAAAATTTCTCCGAGGAGGCGCTCTTGTCGCTAGGTCTGAAAAATCTGAAAATCTTCGACCCCTAAAATGGGGACGATTTTAATACATGGCGATGTATCTCCTTATACTATTTCGTATCATCAGCAACCCAGTTGGTACATAGAACAGTGCAGAGCCCTAGATGTAACCGATACCGACCTTAATCTTATTAAAATATCCCTTGAGAAACTCGAAGCCGGCGACACTATATTTGCATGTCCGTTGTGGGTCTTCAAAGTGCTTGAAGGGGTCCGGGAATATTTCCAAAAACTGGGCCACATCGAAATCCATGGTGTACTGTTTCTGCTGTTCATTGATCTTGATTTTCTTGAGGCACTCATCTTTCGTGGGATAGTCAGGATTCTCCAGCATGGACTGGACATACGCTTGCGCCTTTTCAGGCTGATTGTACATCTTCTCGGCAACTGAGCGAAGATAATTAGGATCGGCGTTTGGAAATATCTCCAGAAGGTTCTCATACTGCTCGTCTACGTTGTATTGTGGCGGGTCAGGGTCTACGGTGATGACTCGGGGATGGTGTTCCCCCTCTACCAGTAAATACTCCACAAGTCGTTCGAGACTTCCCCACTCGCTTAACCCGCTGCGATTTAATTCCCGCTTGCACAACTCGTGCAGAAAATCCCGATCGACGTCGGTAAAGATGCTAGTAAGCTGCCGATAAACCGACTTCCTCATGTCCTCGATTTTCTTCAGCTCGCTCGCACTGAGCACTTCGACCTCTGACGTCATATCGTTGGTCGGTACCGCAGATTCCTTCAATTGGGGACCCGTAGGTACTTTCTGCGTCACACTGTTTCCAGTATTTCCCGCTTTGCTGGTGGCGCCAAGATGGAAAGTTTGTTTTCTTTGGCGATTATGAGCGATTTTCTCGGACGGCGCGCCCAACTGGTCGCTCGCACTGAGCACCTCAACCTCTGACGTCATATCGTTGGTTGGTACCACAGATCCCATCAATTGGGGACCTATAGGTACTTTCTGCGTCACACTGTTTCCAGTATTTCCCGCGTTGCTGGTGGCGCCAAAGTGGAAAGTTCGCTTTCTTTGGTGATTATGAGCGACTTTCTCGGACGGCGCGCCCAACTGACTCGTTCTTACAGAATTACCAGCTGCCTTAATGGTCCAAGTTGTTGGGATTCCGTTTCCGTTTCCGTTTCCGGTTCCAGCTTCTCTATATGCATTTGCTGAAGATGTCGAGGGACCATCGTTCCAATTGCCAGCTGCCTTAATGGTCCAAGTTGTTGGGTTTCCGTTTCCGTTTCCGTTTCCGGTTCCAGCTTCTCTATATGCATTTGCTGAAGATGACGAGGGACCATCGTTCCAATTGCCAGCTGCCTTAATGGTCCAAGTTGTTGGGTTTCCGTTTCCAGCTTCTCTATGTGCATTTGCTGAAGATGTCGAGGGACCATTGTTCCAATTGCCAGCTGCCTTAATGGTCAACGTTGATGGGTTTCCGTTTCCGTTTCCGTTTCCGTTTCCAGCTCCTCTATGTGCATTTGCTGAAGATGTCGAGGGACCATGGTTCCAATTGCCAGCTGCCTTAATGGTCAACGTTGATGGGTTTCCGTTTCCGTTTCCGTTTCCAGCTTCTCTATAAACATTTGCTGAAGACGAGGGACCATCGTTCCAATGACTTGAAGGGAAGCTTCCTGTAACATGTTTAAGGTTATGAAAAACATGATTAAGGGTCTTATCTATTGTTCGTATCGATGTATGGATTGGAAATATAAATATTTACGACAATTTAGAACACTCTGGTAATCGATAAACTCGCATTTGAACGGGATAAAAGCAAAGAAAGTGTTTTATGCGCTTCTATGCTAAAACGATGGGAATACGAGGTCTCGGAGTGAAAATTTAATTGACCTGGAAATCATAGATGGCGCAGGGGTTCCCTCTGCAGTCAATTAGGGTCCCAGAACTTGTACTTCGATTTATTTATAATTATTGTACGAACACGACAGGTGGAGTATGTCATTTAATACAATACCCAATATAATTCGACACAGTTGTCGATATAAAAACCAACGTCGGCAACGTAGGTATTTAGGAAAACCTTTTTACCGACGTCGATCAAGTTCCTCTACGTGTTTCAGTTCACCTTAAATATGATTAACATTTCCCTTCCCTGCTATGGAACAACTTTGTTTTCAATATTTTTATCAATAAGTAAATTACCTGATTTATTTAAGCGATGATAGTTGACTGATGGTGGTGAACTTTTGTTATACGTGACACTCGATGTTGAGTTATTGCCAATTCTTCTGTCAGCCACAGGCGTTGAATTATGTGGCTTTATTGCATGGATGAAGTGATAAATTGAGGTTTTCTCTTTTCGTGTAACAACTCCATCACCTTTCTCACTTAAACGATAATAGTTGTCTAACGGTTGTGCACTCGTTTCATTCGTAACATTCATCGTTAAATTACTGTCCATTTTCCTGCTGTCCCAAAACGTTGACCCATGTGCCGTAACTTCACTGACAGTGTTGGAAATTGGAGTCGATGCCACTAAATTACGATTATCGCAGAAAAACGATGCAACACTCTCACGAATTTCATTCTGACTTGAGACACTCGTAGCTGCTCTTACGTTATCACTCTTAGTAATTATTGCTGGCTCTCGATGAACAGAATCTGGCGTTGAATTGTTTATCACAACTGGCACCAAAGAAGACACATTATTAAGCACTTCGACATTGACTTTATCACCAGGTTCTTGAGACGTCGTTTCAACCATACTTTGAATCGCAGTATTTCTTTGACCTTCCTCGGTAACAGAATCTGTCATCGAAGCACTCTTGCCATTGTACTTCAGTAAATTTACATCGGTTGTTCTCTCGAGATTCTTAAACTTGGATTTCTTTAAAATCACTTTCTTCGTCTGTCGTTGATGCTTCGATTGTTCAGTCCGCTCCATCTCTCTCAAAGGACAAGCTTCTTGTTTCCGCGCTTCCTGTTGAATCTTCTCATCTTCTGGTAACAAAGGAGAAAGATTAATCACTTCGCAATTATCTTTGGCGTATTCACAATTATCCTTTGAACTCTGAGCAGTTCCTACTCCATCCAGAAATTTAGATTTCCGCAGAATAATTTTTTTGGCTTGATATTGACCAGCTTTTATCGAAGTCTCCTTTTTGCCTTCATTCTTCGAGGCATCGGTGTCAAAAAGACTTGCCAAATTGAGACTGTCCGACTGCGACAAGCTATTTTCTGACTTTTTCAAGCTCGAAGGCTTTTCGGAAGACTTCTTTGACTTCAACGGACAGAGATCTTCGTGGGAATATCTTTTCCTATGTGGAATAGGATGCGGCCTCTTCCTTGGCAAGACATCCCAGAGAGTAATTTCAATTCGATTCCTGGCATGCCGGTTATTAAGAAGATGTAAATATATTAACGAAAGACTTATCCTAGGTAGAAGTTGACCTATCATTGATGCCTCCTCTACGATGGACTTAGAATGCTTCGAATTGTATTTTCTTGAAAGAGAGCTGAAGTCATCGGAAGAGTTCTCAATAAAAACCGAATCTTTACTGCAACCAGGCTGCGGATTGTTGGCACTCATTTGATCAACATCAATTAATTCAATGGAGTCGATAGACCGATGCAGGGAATCTTCCTCGTCCTGATTGAGCATCTGAATGGGGTCTAAATTATTATTTGGATCGTTATTGTTCTCTTCGATCATGTCCACAGGTAGAGCCTCATTTTCCCTGCTGATCGAAGACTCTTCAATTCCTCCGATAGGTGAAGTTCGTTTCTGAAACGTGTTTAACATTATGAAAGGTTCTTTGGTCTCTTCATTATCTGAAACAGAGGCAGCTTCGGAGGGCTCCAAGTAATAGCTATTGTCATCGGAGCCATAAAAAGAACTGGCCAGTTCATAAATGTCATTGTTGAAATCATCATCGGAGGTGCTAGAGCTGCATTCGATAGGAATTTCATGCGTAGCCTTTGAAGATTCCTTATTACTCGGTATCTGATTTAAAATATTAAAAGCATTGGGCTCATCCCTAACTTCCTTGGTACTTTCTTTACTCTTTGTCTTAGTTTTTGTTTCCCATGCTTCTTGCTTCGAAGAGGTTATAGCCTTTTGAAGACAAGTTTTATCACTCGTTGAGCTTGGAATCTCTTCTTGGACTTTTGGAAGATAATTTTTGTCACTCGTTGAGTTCTCCAGATCCTCTTCTTGGTCGTGGAATCCGGAATCGCCCAGGAGGAGTCTCACCACGCTGTGAGTGTCTCTGTCCTCACCAAAGCTCTCCAACATCTCCAACAACGTTCTGTCGTCAACATTCTTGTGGCCATGTACTAAAAGATACTGTTTAACCTTCTCAGCATCGCTCAAAATATTAGCCATGTTTCTTCGATTTTAAAGGTTTCAAACACGTTGATGCTTTGAATCTCTCGAATATGGAAGCTGAATCTGGATGCAAAAAATTTCATTTTTATCATTCTTCTCTCGACTCCAAAAGAAAAAGAGGTTATAGAGGGTTAATTTATTAAATTGCTCGTTTACGCAATTTAATAAGTTAACGTATTACAGTCTCATCGTGCGAACATTGGTAAATATCTCTCAATCACGGAAACTCAATCCAGAGGAAGCGAATGTTAAAATATGAAGCAGTGTTAATTTAAACGTAGAGGTTATACTTGTCAGAGTACAATGTATGTAACGCTTGAGAATTTATATTTCATCATTCTTTTCTTGGCTTTGAAAAAAAATGAGGTTATAGAGGGTTAACTTCTTATATTGCTCGTTTACTTACAGTCTTATCGTGCCAACACTGATAAATATCTCTCGATCATAGAAACTCAATCCGAAGGAAGCGAATGCTAAAATATAAAGCAAAGACACAATCAGTTTTATCACAGAAAACCTATCGAGTCGAACAATATGAAAGTTCATATTTAAATTGCTAATAGTACTATATATTTAGTGCTTTACAATTTATATTTTATCATTCTTTTCTTGACTTCGAAAGAAAATGAGGTTATAGAGGGTTAACTTATTAAAATGCTCGATTACGCAATTTAGTAAGTTAATGCATTATAGTCTTATTGTGCGAACATTAGTAAATATATCTCGATCACAGCAACCGAATCCAGAGAAAGCGAACGCTAAAATAGAAAGCCTCATTAATTTAAATGAAAAAGTTATACTTCTAATAGTATAATGCATTCAATGCTCGTTAATTTCACAATTTTATCATTCCTTCCTCGGCTTAGAATGAAAATTAGGTTATGGAGGATTAACTTATTAAAACACTTGTTTACTTACATTCTTATCATGCGAATATCAGCAAATATCTCTCGATCATGGAAACTCAATCCGAAGGAAGCCAATGCTAAAATATAAAGCAAAGACACAATCAGTTCAATCACAGAAAACCCATAGAGTCGAACGATATGAAAGTTCATATTTAAATTGCTAATAGTACTATATATGTAGTGCTTTACAACTTATATTTTATCATTCTTTTCTTGGCTTCGAAAGAAAATGAGGCAATAAAGGGTTAACTTATTAAAATGCTCGTTTATGCAATTTAGTAAGTTAACACATTACAGTCTTATCGTACGAACATTGGAAGATATCTCTCGATCACGGCAACTCAATCCAAAGAAAGCGAATGCTAAAATATAAAGCCTCATGAATTTAAATGAAAAGGTTATACTTGTAACAGTATTATATATTCAATGCTTGTCAATTTCACGATTTTATAATTCCTTCCTCGTCTTAGAATGAAAATTAGGTTATGGAGGGTTAACTTATTAAAATGCTTGTTTACGCAATTTAACAAGTTAACACATTACAATCTTATCGTGCGAACAATAGTAAATATATCATAATCACGGAAACTGAATCCAGAAGAAGCAAATGCTAAAATATAAAGCCTTATTAATTTAAACAAAAAAGTTATACTTGTAACAGTATAATGAATTCAAAGCTCGTAAATTTCACAATTTTATAATTCCTTCCTCGGCTTAGAATGAAATTAGATTATGGAGGATTAACTTATTAAAATGCTCGTTTACGCAATTTAACAAGTTAACGCATTACAGTTTCATCATGCGAACATTAGTAAATATATCTTGATCATGGAAGCTTAATCCATAGGAAGCGAATGCTAAAATATAAAGTTTCATGAATTTAAATGAAAAGGGTATACTTGTAATAGTATTATATATTCAATGCTTGTCAATTTCACAATTTTATAATTCCTTCCTCGGCTTAGAATGAAATTAGATTATGGAGGATTAACTTATTAAAATGCTCGTTTACTTACATTCTTATCGTGCGATCATCGGTAAATATCTCTCGACCCCAGAAACTCAATCCAAAGGAAGCGAATGCTAAAATATGAAGCAAAGACGCAATCAGTTCTATCACAGAAAACCCATCGAGTCGAATGATATAAAAATTCATATTTAAAGTGCCTATTTACTTACAGTTTTCTTTTAGGAACATTCATACATAACGGTTATATACAACGCTAGGACAAAACTCAGTGAAAGATAAACTAAAAAAAAACGGTTGTCACAGATTTACAGATCATGGACAGTGATGCCTTCTCGATTCTTTGCTGTTTATTTACATTTTCAAAGTTACAACGGAAACATATTATAGGTTTGTTCTTTTGAATTTCAATTTTCTACGACTTTACATGTTCCTCACATTGTAATCACGTCTGATATCGTTATTCCACGTTTTCACCAGTTTTTACGTTAATCTTAAATCGGTTCTCCATTGAATACCGTTTTAACCGTTTCTATTTAAGTGTATCAATTTAAAACAATCAACGGAATGCAACAGCGTCTTATTCAAGTTCAGACAAGTTTAGAGATAAAAAATTTTCACACAATGTTTCTCTGGTTTTATATACAGCAATGTGTATCTTTGTAGATGTCTTACTATACCCTCAGAGTTGGTTTACATAAGTCGCTGCGATTGCAGCGCCATCCCAACGGCGACACGACGTAACATTTCGAAAGTGGCGGGACTTCGTCGGTAAAGAAGCGTACAGTGGTTTACAACTAGAGAGGTATAATCAGGGTTGGGTAATTTCACGATTTTCGAGGTTTCTGACGTATATTACATAAATCAAGTAGTTTACCGTAGAAAATTAACAAATAACATAACGTTTGTTACAATGTAATAACCTAACAGGTACGTAACATAGAGCTAACTAGTTACATGACATTTGCCACAATGACACAAAAAAGATGCCGCCATATTTTACAAAGGAAAACAATAGTCTTCATTAAAAAGGGTATGATGGGGTAAAAAAAGATTCCGCCATATTTTACAAAGGAAAATAATAATCTTTATTAAAGAGGGTATGATGGGGTAAAAAAAGATTCCGCCATATTTTACAAAGGAAAATAATAATCTTTATTAAAGACGGTATGATGGGGTAAAAAGGGAATACATTTCAAGTGAATCCTTATCTGAGACCGCTGATAAACATACATAACATGTTACATGAAATACGCGACGATAAAGACAGGAAGAAGGAAACGCAAAACTGAGTACACTGTTAAAAATATTTATAAAAATCAAAGTAGTCATTTAGTATATAAATTTGCGCTAAAATTACAAAATTCAAAATAAATTTGTTACATTTTTCACTTATGTACTAAACGTATAATATACGTTATCAATCTGTATGAAAATACGTCGTGAATAAAATTGTCAACAAAGTAGTTATGAAATTATTATTTTTTTAACAGTGTACCACTTCGTACGAGGAAAAGTTATTCGGAGATTATCTCGTACATTGTTTATGAAAGCTGTTCATGAATTTGTTAAGTATACCTGCTTTTTGCGAGACTCAATGTGAGCCAATATAAAAATCTTAAATATTAGTCAATGTCTCGCGAATGCGGACCTCAAACACTTAAAGTTAATAATTATAAAAGACGGACTTATAAAAAGCTATTTACAGTTCTGCATAATGGCACTACGTCGATCCGTTACGAAGTCAACATTATCGCTTATAATGACGCTCGTTTAAACATTTTTATACATATTAACATCTCCATCCCACATCTTAATCTTCCTATATTAAGAAAAAGGATTCATTGCCCCGAAGAAATAATTTGTTAATTTAAGGAATAATTATTTGGCTCAAATTTCAATATAATTCGATACAGTTGTGATATAAAAACCAACGTCGGCAACGCAGGTATCTAGAGAAACCTTTTTTACCGACGTCGATCAAATTCCTGGACGTGTTCCACTTCGTTAAATCGGGGTTTTATGAATATTTAAAAAACGCTCACGCCTACGGAAAAATTCTTCAAATAAAAGTTGAAGAGCTCTAAATTCTCTATAAAAAAGGTTCTCTTCGATTTTATCGTAAGTTTAATGTAGCGACTTTTGAAAGGCATGACAATGACAGCGACCTCGACAGTTTCAGAAACTATGAATCCAGATGATTTCTTGAGTTTTACTCGGATTTTTTTATAATAATTGCATAGAAACAACACATGGAGTATGATATTTAGTACAATACCCAATATAATTCAACACAGTTGTCGATATAAAAACCAACGTCGGCAACGCAGGTATCTAGAGAAACCTTTTTTTACCGACGTCGATCAAATTCCTGGACGTGTTCCACTTCGTTAAATCGGGGTTTTATGAATATTTAGAAAACGCTCACTCCTACGGAAAAATTCTTCAAATAAAAGTTGAAGAGCTCTAAATTCTCTATAAAAAAGCTTCTCTTCGATTTTATCGTAAGTTCAATACAATGACTTTTGGAAGGCATTTTCAGCTGTAGGTATTTAGAAAAATCTCTTTCACCGACGTCGATCAAGTTCCTCACCTTAACTTTGTTTTATGTTTAAGTATTGTTGGTTCGTTATTTTGTCTTGCAAATATTAATTCCGAATGAGGACTCATAAGAAACACTCTAATGACTCGTTTAATGATTTTTTTTACTACTCAAATTTTATGCAAATTTCGCATCAGTTTGTGTATCTGGAATGTTTCATCCAATTTGTACCAGTTTATTCCAATAAAATAATTATTCCTTGCATTAACAAAATATTCCTTCGGCTCAATGAGGTTTTTTTTCATCTCGGTGTAACAACGCAAGGGCATTAATACATATCTCTATTAATTATTAACAAGTAATATACCGGAAAGTTCTCTTTGTTGCTGACTTTGTTCTTTTGTTATCTCGTCACCTTGCAAGCGAGCTTTATTTAATAATTGCGTAAAGCTGCATAAAACAAGCGATTACAAATTCGATCGAACTTTGTCTTTCTCTCCTATTTACAGATAAACAATCTCAAGATTTAATTCAATTATAAAAATAAACGACTCGCCATTAACATTCATATCGCTCACGTATTTACATTGCGAAAGTTTTCTCGTTATTTCTTACTTTGATAACAGTTCTTATCCTTGTTGTATGTAATGAACGCTTTTTCATTAATATTTTTATTACTATTCAATAAACACGAAGTAGTCTAATACAAGTTTAGAAGTATTGCAACATGTTTTGTACGTTCTATATCCTTCTATTCCACGTAAAATTAAACGTTGATTTTGCGTCCATTTTACGTTTAGCACCTTAACGTAAACATTTATCAGTGAGTTCATATTCAACATGTTTATAAAATACGCGCAATAAAGCAAGTTGATTTTATTTTGCGTCCATTTTACGTTTATCATTGTACTATAAACATTTATAAATGAGTTCATATTAAACATGTTTATGAAATTCGCGGAATGAACGAAATTGCGTTGATTTTGCGTCCATTTTACGTTTATCACTTTATCATAAACATTTATAAGTGAGTTCATATTCAACATGTTTATAAAAAACGCGCAATAAAGCAAATTGCATTTATTTTGCGCCTATTTTACGTTTTTAATTCATATTGAACATGTTTATACAATACGCGGAATAAGTCCAATTTCTTTGATTTTGCGTCCATTTTACGTTTATCACTTTATCATAAACATTTATAAATTAGTTCATATTCAACATGTTTACAAAATACGTGGAATGAACCAAATTGCGTTGATTTTGCGTCCATTTTACGCTTATCATCCTAAGACAAACATTTATAAATTAGTTCATATTCAACATGTTTATAAAAAACGCGCAATAAAGCAAATTGCATTTATTTTGCGCCTATTTTACGTTTTTCATTCTAAAATAAATGAATTCATATTGAACATGTTTATAAAATAAGCTCAATAAACCGAATTACGTTAATTTTGCGTTCATTTTATGTTTATCACTTTACCATAAACATTTATAAGTGAGTTCATACTGAACATGTATACAAAATACGCGGAATGAGCCAAATTGCGTTGATTTAGCGTTCATTTTACGTTTACCACCCTAAGATGAACATTTATAAATGAGTTCATATTTAACATGTTTATAAAATATGCGTAATAAACCAAACTTGCAAATGCATTTGATTGTTATTGTGTGAACGTAGAAAAATCGTTCATAATCATTCATTATACTTTCAATTGTTGTGCAAATATTCCGTTAAAATATACATTTCTTTTCAACTAGTTAACGCATCGACAGTTCATCACGCAAAATCAACGTTTATTTAAAACGTGTGCTTAAGGGGAAGTAAAAGTGGCATCTAGGTATCAACTTTTTTCTGAACTGAATGTACCGAATCGTCTGAAACTTTACAACATGAACATGGAGGCTACAAGGAAGGTCCCGACAGCCATGAAATTTCATTTTTAATAAAAAATTGAAAAAATACCCATAAACAAATTTTTATTCTATTCCAATTTCATGGGCGTCCGGACCTTCCTTATAGCCTCCATATAAATACTGTAAAGTTTGAATCGATTCAGTACAAAGAATTTGCAGAAAAGTTTCATAAACGAGACTTTTTTGACGCCATTTTCATCTTAATATAGATATAAAAACCGTGAGTGATAAACATTTAGGTTTTACACCTTTATTATACCGATTCCTACTTTTACGTCTATAAAACGTGCATTCTTCTATTTCGTGTTCATTGAACAGTTCCAAACTTATATCCGATTTCATAATACTAATTTCAGTCATGCTCCTACAACTAATTCTCCCAATGACGTCACTTAGGTCATGTTCTTGCTTGGAATATTTTGGCATCATCATCGTCATCATGTATAGGAATTTGGTATCATCTTCAACAGTGATACTAAAAAACTTCAACTTGTCCGATACCCAGAAGTGTCAGAAAAGAAAAACTTCAATACTATTTCATTCTGAACTTCACATAAATTCATGAACATCGCATGATGAGGATAATCGATTTATGGTTAATTTTCAGACCATTTGTTGCATGAAATGTCTGCAATATATGCATGCATCTATTTACAAACAATTTGCAGATCATTTTTGCATGAAATGTCTGCAACATATGTGCGCATAATTGTCATAATTCTGAATAAATCCCAGATAGAAATTCATGAACATCATATGATGAGGAAATTTGATTTTCAAGTAATTTGCAGACCATTTGTTGCATTAAATGTCTGCAATATATGCACGCATCTGTTTACAAACAATTTGCAGTTTCACGAACTATTGGGAATGAAATTTAATGCAAATTGTGCGTCGCTGATCAATCTGCGTTGTATTTGTTTAAATTCATTCAAATTCATTCCTAACGTCGTGCAGATGAGAATTCCAAATGAGGACACGCATGCAGCGCCCTCGCGGCGGGTTTTACGAACTATTGGGAGTGAAATTTGATGCAAATTGTGCGTCGCTGGCCAATCTGCGTTACGTTTGTTTAAATTCATTCCTGGCGCCATATAGATGAGAATTCCAAATGGGAACTCGTAAGCAGCGCCCTCGCGGCGCGTTTCGTGAACTATTGAGAGTGTAATTTATGACAAATCGTGTGTCACGTGTCTATCTGCGTTACGTTTGTTTAAATTCATTCCTAGCGTCTTGCAGATGAGAATTCCAAATAAGGACACGTATGCAGCCCCCTCGCGGCGGGTCTCAGGAACTATTGGGAGTGAAATTTGATGCAAATTGTGCGTCGCTGGTCTATCCGCGTTGCGTTTGTTTAAATTCATTCGAATTCATTCCTAACATCTTGCAGATGAGAATTCCAAATGAGGACTCGTAAGCAGCGCCCTCACGGCGGGTTTTACGAACTATTGGGAGCGAAATTTGATGCAAATTGTGCGTCGCTTGTCTGTCCGCGTTGCGTTCGTTTAAATTAATTCCTGGCGACTTGTAGATGAGATTTCCAAATGAGGACTCGTAAGCAGCGCCCTCGCGGCGCGTTTCGCGAACTATTGAGAGTGTAATTTATGACAAATCGTGTGTCACGTGTATATCCGCGTTACGTTTCTTCAAATTCATTCCTGGCGACTTGCAAATGAGAGTTCCAAGTGAGGACTCGTAAGCAGCGCCCTCGCGGCGAGTTTCACGAACTATTGGGAGTGAAATTTGTTGCAAATCATGCGTCGCTGGCAATTTGCGTTGCGTTTGTTTAAATTCATTCCTAGCGTCTTGCACATGAGAATTCCAAATGAGGACACGTATGCAGCGCCCTCGCGGCGGGTTTTACGAACTATTGGGAGCGAAATTTGATGCAAATCGTGCGTCGCTGGTCAATTTGCGTTGCGTTTGTTTAAATTCATTCAAATTCATTCCTAGCGTCTTGCAGATGAGAATTCCAAATGAGGACACGTATGCAGCGCCCTCGCGGCGGGTTTTACGAACTACTGGGAGTGAAATTTGATGCAAATTGTGCGTCGCTGGTCTGTCCGCGTTGCGTTTGTTTAAATTCATTCAAACTGAAGCCGGAAATTACGCTATTTCCGTGATTGATAATTCTAAATGTTGTTGGCTCCTGGGAACAACGTCCTACTAGTCTCTTATCACTGTTTTCAATTTACGATTGGTTCATCCTTCATGCAAAGACCATCATGTCGGCACTTGCTCCAAAACATTGTCCAGTCTGGTTTCTCGTCGACCAGGATCTATTTCCCGCTTGCAAATCCCCATAACTACCTCAGTAGTATTTATCTTGATCCAAGTCAGCACGAATATGAGGTTGGCCGTGGCTATTTCTCTTCAGGGTCGCAGATTCGTAGTCCAAACTTTTTGGGTAGAGTTTCGGACTGCCGAGGCCATTCGCGTTCGGAGTCCCTTTGCCTCGAAGAGTACCATTACCATTGGTACTTCCAGAGAAACTTGGCTGACGCTTTGCGGTGACCTAATCGGAGAAGAAGATAATGTTAATTTCAGGAAATGGTTCATTGCAGATGCGGCTGAAACCTTGAACTTGTGCTCGGATATGCTAATATTTTAATTTCAATCATTAAGGTGATGTGAAAGTGGCGTCGAAGAGGTTTTGTTTATTAAACTTTTCTCCCAACTCGGTTTGCCGAATAGTTTGAAACGTTACAACGTGAATAGGGAGACTATAAGGAAGGTCCTGACACTCATGAAATTTCAATTCTTTTCAAATTTCTTTATAGGTATTTTAAAAATAGTTTATAAGAAATGAAATTTCCCGAGTTTCGGGACCTACTTTAAGGTCTCCATATTCACGTTTTAAAGTATGAAACGATTTGAAACACCCAGTTCGTAGAAATGTTTTATGAACGATTGAGCTTTCGGATGCCACTTTCACATCCCCTTAAGGTGAAGTGAAACAAGTCTTTTCAACAAGACAAACAAGATTTTTCTAAATACCTACGTTGCCGATTGGTTTTTATATTAACAGCTGAATCGAATTATACTGAGTATTGCACTAAATGGCATACTCCATATGTTGTTTCCGTACAATAATTATAAAGAAACCAAAGTAAAACTCCAGAAATCTCCTGGATTCATGATTTCTGCGGCCCTAATTGATTGCAAGTGCCACCCTGCGCCATCTGTGATTTCAGTGTCGACTTAAGAGAAAATGAAACACCTCGAGGAAATTGATCGACGTCGATAAAGATTTTTTTAAATACCTACGTTGCCGACATTGGTTTTCATATTAACAGCCGTACCGAATTATATTGAGTATTGTACTAAATGGCATACTCCATATGTTGTTTCCGTACAATAATTATAAAGAAACCAAAGTAAAACTCCAGAAATCTCGTGGATTCATAATTTCTGCGGCCCTAATTGAATGCAAGTGCCACTCTGCGCCATCTGTGATTTCAGTGTCGACTTAAGATAAAATGAAACACGTCGAGGAACTTGATCGACGTCGATAAAGATTTTCCTAAATACCTACGTTGCCGACATTGGTTTTTATATTAACAGCTGTATCGAATTATATTGAGTATTGCACTAAATGGCATACTCCATATATTGTTTTCGTACAATAATTATAAAGAAATCCAGAAATCCTCTGGATTCATGATTTCTGAGGCCCTAATAAACTACAGAGCCTTAATTCTAACCATTTCAAGTTACAAGTCCGAAATTTCAGCCACATCACTGCAACATGTCTCAGAAAAAGAACGATTACCTTTGTGTAACTTACTTCCTTTAGAGGAACCGTCACGTATGGATTCTGTTTACTGATGTAATGAGGACTTCCAGGCACTCGCGGTCTGCGTCGTTTCAGGTAGATAAAGCAGACACCTGCAGTTAGGCCCAGGCCGATAAGAAAGCCTGCGATGCAACCCCCGACAACAGCGCCAACTGATACACCAGCCATTTCGACTCTGCGCGACTGGGCATAGGAGATTTCTGGAATTACAAAAATATTTCGTTAGGGTGATGTGAAACACGTCGAGGAACTAGATCAACGTCGATAAACAAGATTTTTCTAAATGCCTACGTTGCCGACGTTCGTTTTTATATCGACAACTGTGTCGAATTATATTGAGTATTGTACCAAATGGCGTACTCCACCTGTCGTTTTCGTACAATAATTATCAAGAAATCGAAGTAAAACTCTATAAATCCTCTGGATTCATGCTTTCTGGGGCCCTAATTGACTGCAGAGGACCCCCTGCGCCATCTGTGATTTCCAGGTCAATTAAATTTTCACTCCGAGACCTCGTATTACCATCGTTTTAGCATAGAAGCGCATACAACACTTTTTTTTGCCTTTATCCCGTTCAAATGCGAGTTTATCGATTACCAGAGTGTTCTAAATTGTCGTAAAATTGTCCTGACCCATTACTTTCTCATATTAGAGGCTTCAAGAATTGGATGTCGATTGAAATATGGGAGCTCGACGTCATTCATCGACCTTAAGGTGAAGTGAAACAACTCGAGGAACTTGATCGACGTCGGTAAAAAGGTTTTCCTAAATGCCTACGTTGCCGACGTTCGTTTTTATATTGACAGCTGTGTCGAATTATATTGGGTATTGTATCAAATGGCATACTCCACCTGTCATTTTCGTATAATAAGTATAAAGAAATCGAAGTAAAACACCAGAAATCCTCTGGATTCGTGCTTTCTGGGGCCCTAATCGACTGCAGAGGGACCCCCTGCGCCATCTGTGATTTCCAGGTTAATTAAATTTTCACTCCAAGACCTCGTATTCTCATCGTTTTAGCATAATAGCGCATACAACACTTTTTTTGCCCTTATCCCGTTCAAATGCGAGTTTATCGATTACCAGAGTGTTCTAAATTGTCGTAAAATTTTCCTGACCCTTTCGATTCTCATATCAGAGCCTTCGATAATTGTATACTGATCGAAATATGAGAGATCGACGCCATTTTGGTTCTGGTCTGGGCTGAGTTAAAAAATTCTTTTGAAAAATCCAAATTTTGAATGCGTCAGGACAATTCTTAGATGTGTCAAAGTTTCGGACAGTTTGGTCTAATACCCTTAAAAAAAAGTGTTGTACTCGAATCGACTGATTTGAAGGATGTTTCACTTCACCTTAATGTTTCATCTTACCGTTCTCCATCCAATCAGGGATGCAATTTCTGACTTCCCGGCTAGGTCCCTGGCAAGCCTCGTCCTCGGTGTGGATCAGACATTGTCTTTTCCGGTGTTGCTGATTAGCGGAGTCGCAGGGCGACCACTGTCCCCAGGAGTCCCAGCCATACAAAGACTCGCAGCTGGGCATTTCGCAAGTTTCCTTCACTTGTCCAGAGCCTTCGCATTCTCCCGGGCCGAGGCACTCTCTTGTTCTTGTTCTGAAGCCGACGCCGCAAGAGACGGAGCACTCGGACCAGTCCGTCCAACAAGACCATTGGCCATCTTCTTCGGCGTCTGAAAGGTCCCGACAAGGATGACTGTTGCAGACTCTGGTCTGCATCGCGATTCCTTCACAGGGAGCCGATTCGCATTGTTTCACCTGGAACGAGAACAAAGAATGAAGATCCAGCGCCACGCGTGGTTGGTGGTGGAAACAATAATGGTTTTTTATTGTGGCTAGCTTTATATGAAGCTGACATCGCCACCATTTTTCGGAAAAGTATAAGAGCAAAGAATTTTTCTCTTGTGCAATAAAATAGCAATTAATTTTGCAACAAATTTTATTGCATTGTGCTAAAGTGGCAATTCCAGCTTTTACTTTTTTGTGCAATAAAATAGCAATGAATTAGCAATAAATTTTGCAACAAAATTGTGCTGAAGTGGCAATTACAGCTTCATTTACTTAGTTGTGCAATAAAATAGAAATGAATTAGCAATAAATCTTGCAACAAATTTGATTGAATTGTGCTGAAGTGGCAATTCCGGCTTTATTTACTTTTTTGTGCAATAAAATAGCAATGAAATAGCAGTAAATTTTGCAACAAATTTTATTGAATTGTGCTAAAGTGGCAATTCCAACATTATATACTTTCTTGTGCAATAAAATAGCAATGAATTAGCAACAAATTTTATTGAATTGTGCTAAAGTAGCAATTCCAACATTATATACTTTCTTGTGCAATAAAATAGCAATGAATTAGCAACAAATTTGANACATCTCAAATGTACATAAAGCTGGCATTGCCACTTTAGCACAACTCAATAAAATTTGTTGCAGAATTCATTGTTATTTTATTGCGCAAAAAAAGAAATTTATTGCTCTTATAGTTTTTCGAAAAACTGGCGATGAACATCAGGTGAACATTATATGAACAATAAATGAACTAACCCTGTGCTGAGACCCTCCACCACACGCGCGATTGCATGGTGACCATAAAGACCATTCGCCCCAACCACCATCAGCATTGACGTCACTGTTCCCATTTGCATTTGCATTTCCCCGTAAACAGGATCCATCGCTCCTACAGTATCGTTCTTCTTCTTTTGCCAACTGAATTCGAACACTGGCCGAGTCTTCTGTTTGGGCACGACAGCTGAATCGGAAGCGTTTTTCTGTGTACCCGATAGTTCCAGCTTCTGCCGTTGCATTTACGGACAACCATGGCGTCCAACTCGAGTACTTTCTGGTCTCTGGGCATGGATGGGTGTTGCAGTCCTCGATCTACAATAATGCAATAATTCATTATAGCGCAACAATGTAAAGACCCAGGTACCGCTGAACGTGGAAAATCCGTAAATTAATCGTATATGAATGTTTATTGAACGTATGTAAGATGTATATAGATATCTATGAACTCTATTTTAGATACACTCAAGGGCTATCCGTAAATTAATCGTATATAAATGTTTATTGAACGTATGTAAGATGTATATAGATATCTATGAACTCTCTTTTAGATACACTGAAAGGCTTGATGTCCGGACATTAGACATAATATATATGTCGTAGATAGGTCATAGATATGATACCCTGCGGACATGAATGCCTCCTCTGCAGATACGACATCGCCTGTGCAGGTTGGGAGGGCATTGATGTCTTCCAGTGTAAACTGCGGACATGAATGCCTCCCCTGCAGGTACGACATCGCCTGTGCAGGATGGGAAGGCATTGATGTCTTCCAGTGTACCCTGCGGACATGAATGCCTCCCCTGCAGATACGACATCGCCTGTGCAGGACGGGAGGGCATTGATGTCTCCCAGTGTACAATAGATGGTTAATCCATGTCTATAGATATTCATATATATTTGTAAAGAAAAAACGAAATTCATAACACTTTTATGAATATTAATTAAAGATATTTCATTTAAATGCGCGCAATTTTTTACAGTGTAACTGCATTTTTATAGGTCTGTAAAAGCTGAATATAAACTATCAATTTAACGTTTTCGAATAATTTAGGTTTCTGTATAGGTTAATTAGACTTCTATATGTACTGAAAATATAGTGGCAGTCAGACGAGGGAATAAGTTAAGCAACATTGTCAAGAGGCAAGTATCAGATTGCTTCAAATTACGTCTTTCTAATGAAGTACCTACTTAGTACCAATTTGAAGCACAAATTGTATAGAGAAATCGAGATTACTAACAAGGAAACATTTCCAAGTGTCCACTGCCGATCTTATTGATTTTCGTATATGTTGAAGAATACAAAAATCTAAGAGACACGAGATTCCCATATTAGCAATATATTATATTATAGATATTCATATACATCCTTTAGATATTTTCCTATGTGGATGATAGACGATATCCATTTGCTACACCTATAGACCTAATATAGACGTTTAATTTACATATATTCCACTTCGTGGGTTGCCTGGGTCCATATTAGCAACATGTTATATTATAGATATTCATATACATCCTTTAGATATTTTTCTATGTGGATGATAGACGATATCCATTTGCTACACCTATAGACCTAATATAGACGTTTAATTTACATATAGTCCACTTCATGGGTTGCCTGGGATATTCCAATAGAATATGATAGTTCACCTGAAAACTGCACCCAGGACACTCCGCACCTCCTTCCCTGGGCGATGGATGATCACACGTCCTTCTTCTCATCCTGATGCCTAAATAAAGGATTAACCCTTTACTCCAAGTAAATCCTCCACTACATGAATTTAATATCATACTTCAAGGAACTTACCAACGTTACATGGCTTAGAGCATGTTCCCCATGAGCCCCATGCCGACCATTGTCCATTTTGAGGGGAAGATGTTACTTTTGCGACAGTCGGACATGGTGGAAGGTCAATGCAAACATTTTCGTCGTGATCATGGCCGACGCAAACTCGGCCCCCAAATGCTGGTTCTGGATTGGTGCAAGTGCGCCTCCTGGTTTTCATGGCGAATCCGCAAGTTTGCGTGCAAGCTGACCACGTGGACCATGCCGTCCAACCTCCATGGACGGTGCAGTTGGAGACGCGAACTTTGGGCCCGACGCAACTAGCGCCACCCTGCTTCGGTGGTGGATTGTTGCACTCCCTGGTCTGGCATTGGCAAGTGTCCATTTTCTGTGGAAATCCCATTGTCATGTACTGTTAGGTCCCACGTGGCTCTCACAGCCAAAAATAGGTTAAGGTGAAGTGAACTTGATCGACGTCGGTAAGAGACCCTTCTAAACATCTACGTTACCGACACTCGTATTTATATGGACAGCTGTGTCGAAGTATGTGGCATATTGTAATGACATACTTCATGTATCATTTCCGTAGAATAATTGTAAAGAAATCGAAGTAAAACTCCAGAAATCCCATTTTTGAGGCCCCAATTGACGGCAGAGTACCGCACGGCGCCATCTGTGATTTTAGGGTCAACTAAAGTTTCTCTCGGAGATTTCGCGTTACATTCGTTTTAGGTGGATTCGGTACACCCACTTCGTAGGAAAGTTTCATGAACGATTCACTATTTAGATGGCACTTTCACATCCCCTTAAGGTGAAGTGAAACTCTCCTTAAATCAGTCGAATTGAATAAGACACTTTTTTTTAAAGGTATTCGATCGAACCGTCCGATACTTTGGCGGTAAAAAAGATCCATCTAGACACCTACGTTACCGACACTCGTATTTATATGGACAGCTGTGTCCATATAAGTAATCACAGATGGCGCAGGGGTCGCTCTGCAGTGAACTAGGTCCTCGGAAACCATGAATCCAGGGGATTTTTCTAGTTTTACTTGGATTTCTTTATAATTATTGTACGGAAACAACATATGGAGTACGCCATTTAGTACAATACCCAATATAATTCGACACAGTTGTCAATATAAAAACCAACGTCGGCAACGTAAGTAATTAGAAAAATCTTCTTTACCGACGCCGATCAAGTTCCTCGAGATGTTTCACTTTTTCTTAACACTATCTACCTCAAGTTTATCCGAGTGCTGATGGCTATGGGAAGATCGCGAGTGTCCCGATTCGGTCCCGTGCTGGCAAGGTGTCCAGGAGCTCCAAGCACTCCATCCGCCATCTACAGGATCAGTTAGGACAGGACACGTGGTCACTTCCTGGGCCCAGTGATTGGCCAGGTAATGCTGATGAGGAGCCGGACTGCACTCCATCAGATGTTCATTCCAGCCGCAATATGGCTCCTGGGCGTTCAGACATGCCTGGCGTTTCTTGTGACGATGACATTGGTCCGCCGGTATCCTGAACAAAAGATTATCTTATTAAATTAATCTTCTTTATCTTATCTTATTAATCTTATTGGATTAAAGTGTTAAAAATAATCGGCATTACTTATGAATCTATTTCTTCTATAGGAGAGGGTTTCAACGAATTCAGGCCACGACAGCGCCACTACACGTGGGCAGCGGTACTAAATGAGCGACTCCTGCGCATGCGCGAATGTTTCGAACGGTCAATCGAGGCAATGATAAATGTTGAACCGTCATTTCGCGCAGATGAACGTTTAAGGCTCATGCGTTCGAACTTGTTCATACGTTGATCAGTCCGACCAACATGATGTTCAGCATTAATAGGTAAACACGATGCAACTATGTAGTCTTTAAGAACTTGTTCATGTGTTGATCAGACCGACCAATATGACGTTCAGCATTAATAGTTAAACACGATGCAACTATGTAGTCCTTATGAACTTGTTCATGTGTTGATCAGACCGACATGGTGTTCAACATTAATAGGTAAACACGATGCAACTATGTAATCCTTATGAACTTGTTCATGTGTTGATCAGACCGACCAACATGGTGTTCAACATTAATAGGTAAACACGATGCAACTATGTAATCCTTATGAACTTGTTCATGTGTTGGTCAGACCTACCAACATGACGTTCAGTATTAATAATTAAACGGATTGCAACGACAACTTGAAGGAAGAAAAGACCCGATACCGCCGAATCTTAAGGCCCTTTTCTTGCAACAATGATGATCACAAGATGTGGCATGAGCACAGTTACAGGTAAATAGTAGAACAGGTAGCCGACAGGTGGAGGTTGCAATAAATACGATGCACCATCGGTGCAACGGATGCTCACCTCAGAAGACCGGTCTCCATACCGACGTAGAGACTCTGCGTGGCCTTGAGGAATTGCAAGGTCACCGCAGGGGAAGGTAATGGGCCCCATACTTCCACCACGCAGGTCTCTTGCGTCCTCGGCAACACGGAGATCTTCTTTATCAGCGCATCGGTCGTCGCGACGTACAGCACCGTCACTCCACGATGCAGCTTGGTCGGCGTAACGTCCACGGCGATGTAGGTAAACCTAGGATAGAGACATAGTGATTTATAGTATGAATACTACACATAGTATACAGTTTATGGGTAAATTCTTATATGTATACTATCTAGTTTATAGGTAAATTATAGTCGAAGTTACGTTCACGGCGATGTAGGTAAACCTAGGATACAGAGATAGTGATTTATAGTATGTATGGTGTGTATAGTATGAATAGTACGCATAGTATAAAGTTTATGTGTAAATTATAGTCGAAGTTACGTTCACGGCGATGTAGGTAAACCTAGGATAGAGATAGTGATTTATAGTATGTATAGTATGAATACTACACATAGTATACAGTTTATGGGTAAATTCTAGTATGTATACTATTTAGTTTATGGGTAAATTATAGTCAGAGTTAAGTTCACAGCGACGTAAGTAAACCTAGTAAAGAGAGATAGTGATTTATAATATGTATAGTATTAATAGTGTACTGTTTATGGGTAAATTATGGTCGGCGTAACGTCCACGGCGATGTAGGTAAACCTACGATAGAGAAATAGTGATTTATAGTATGTATAGTATGAATACTACACATAGTATACAGTTTATGGGTAATTCTAGTATGCATACTATCTAGTTTATAGGTAAATTATAGTCGAAGTTACGTTCACGACGATGTAGGTAAACCTTTAATAGGGAGATAGTGATTTATAATACGTATAGTATGCATAGTATGAATAGTATCTATAGTATGAATAGTATTTACAGTATGCATAGTACATAATGATACGCCGTGGGTTCACGACCACGGCGTTGGAGGTAAACCTTTAATACGGAGGTAGTGATTTATAGTACGTATAGTAGGCATAGTGTGAATAGAATTTATAGTACGTATAGTATGCATAGGGTGAATAACATGAATAGTATCTATAGAATGTATAGTATAAATAGTACGCATAGTACGTAATAGTACGCCGTGGCTTCACGTCCACAGCGATGTAGGCAAACCTTTAATAGGGAGATAGTGATTTATAATACGTATAGTATGCATAGTATGAATAGTATCTATAGTATAAATAGTACGCATAGTACGCCATGGCTTTACGTCCATGGCGATGGAGGTAAACCTTTAATAGGGAGATAGTGATTTATAGTATGTATAGTATGCATAGGATGAATAGTATGAATAGTATCTATAGTATGTATAGTATAAATAGTACGCATAGTACGCCATGGCTTTACGTCCATGGCGATGGAGGTAAACCTTTAATAGGGAGATAGTGATTTATAGTACGTATAGTATGCATAGTATGAATAGTATCTATAGTATGAACAGTATTCACAGTACGCATAGTACGTAATAGTACGCCGTGGCTTCACGTCCACTGCGATGTAGGTAAACCTTCAATAGGGAGATAGTGATTTATAGTACGTATAGTATGTATAGTGTGAATAGTATGTATAGTATGAATAGTATTTACAGTACGCATAGTACGTAATAGTGCGCCGTGGCTTCACGTCCACGGCGATGTAGGCAAACCTTCAATAGGGAGATAGTGATTTATAGTATGTATAGTGTGAATAGTATGTATAGTGTGAATAGTATGTATAGTATGAATAGTATGAATAGTATCTATAGTATGTGTGGCTTGGAGAGTGGAATGGAGAACTTACCTCTCCAAGGTAGCAGTGTGCAATGGCGTCAAGGTGGTCCCTTGGACCGCGTCGTCCATCAGTTGGTACCTCTGGTTGTCCATGATCTGATGGGGAGCATTACTGGGTGGAGGGCCACAATGCTGTCGGTTGTGGTGAGACACTGGCTTCCTGGCCCAAGCTGCTCCTGAATTCTCCTGGTGCTTGTAGGGTCCATTGAAAGCAGCCGTGATGGCGGACATGTTGAAAGCGCATATGGCCGATCCAGCTATCGCATTACTAAAAAAGAACATGTCCGTTTTAACCACCACCTACGGTATATCTTGAAGGCCATTTTCAATCATTCTTTTATCTCTAATTACACCTAATTGCAGGTAACGATTCATTAATTCAAGGGATACTTCTTATGGCGCTGCGGTACGTCGTGCTAGTTTGGAGGTTAAGGGGATCGCATCAGAAACTGAAACTATTTTTTTAACGTTAATTACATTGGTTTACATTCATCTGGGTTTTAGTATGGACGCAGTTTGCGGAAATCGATACTCATTATTATTGTTATCTCATCCCGATCCTCATGTGCATATTTAACAACAATCTTTAATTATCTTTGTATTTTAATATCGACATGATTTACGTAGAATTTCATTTTTATACTTAATTACCATTTATATTCATTTTTATTAGTTATTGTTGCTAAATTCGATACCATCGAGCACAGTCATTTAGTTAGAGATTAATTAAAAACCATTTATTATTAACTCTTACCTTCTCAGTTTTATTTACTCACTTAATTATCATTTGCAATTTTTTTTTTATTTACTATTGATTAACCCTAAACCATCAAGCATAACTGTTTTATAATTATCTCTTACCCTCTCAATTTTATTGATACAATTAATTACAATTTACATTCATTTTTGTATTTACTATTGATAAACCCTAAACCATCAAGTATAACTATTTCGTTACAGATTAATTAAAAACAATTTATTATTAACTCTTCCCCTCTCAGTTTTATTTATACACTTAATTACCATTTACATTCATTTTTTTTATTTACTATTGATAAACCTTAACCATCAAGCATAACCAATTCGTTACAGATTAATTAAAAACAATTTATTATTAACTATTCCCCTCTCAGTTTTATTTACTCAATCATCATTTACATTCATTTTTTTTTATTTACTATTGATAAGCCCTAAATCATCAAGCATAGTCATTTTGTTAAAGAATAATTAAAATTAATTAATAGTAAACTCTTATCATCTCACAATTAAAAGTTTTACATCCAACTTGGTAACCTCGCGCGATTGTTGTTCCCTTTTCAACAATTCCAAATATATTATTCAGTCCTTTACCTCTCTTATCAATGCCGTTCTATTACACTCGACTGATGGCATCCGAGTGGCAGTGGAAAAGATAAGCTTGATTAAAAAATACCGAAGAACAGGTCGAAGATTAATGCCCGGTTCCACTAACCTCGGTTAAATTAATTTCAGGACACATTTCAAGACACATGCATACTACCCTAATACATCCTCAATCTAATTAATGTTTTCCTCGCGTTTGTGTTTTCAGGCCGAAATTCGCTTAACTGAAGTTAAACAATGGAATTTGGTTTGTAAGTTTAACTGGCGATTAAGGAAAATTAACCCGCTGTTAAAATGTAAAACCGTTTATGCAGTTTCCAGATCGAAGTTCGCTTAACTGCAGCTAAACGATGGAGTTTGGTTGATCAATCTAACTGGCGATTAACGGAAATTAATCAGGCGTTAAAATGTAAAACCGTTTATGCAGTTTCCAGATCGAAGTTCGATTAACTGCAGCCAAACGATTGAATTTTGCTGGTTAATCTAACCGACGGTTAAACAAAAATAAACACGCCGTTAAAATGTAACACTGTGCAGTTTTTAGGGCGATGTTCGGTTAAGTGAAGTTAAACGATGGAATTTGGTTTGTAAGTTTAACCGGCGATTAAGGAAAATTAACCCGCTTTTAAAATGTAAAACCGTTTACGCAGTTTCCAGATCGAAGTTCTCTTAATTGCAGCCAAACGATGAAGTTCGGTTGGTCAATCTAACCGGCGGTTACCGAAAATAAATCCGCTATTAAAATGTAAAACCGTTCGTGGTGTTTTTAGGTCGAAGTTCACTTAACTGCAGCTAAACAATAGAGTTTGGCTGTTTAATCTAACCGACGGATAACGTAAATTAACCCGATGTTAAAATGTAAAACCGATTATGCAGTTTTCAGGTCGAGGTTCGATTAACTGCAGCTAAACGATTGAATTTTGCTGGTTAATCTAACCGACGGTTAAAGAAAATAAACACGCCGTTAAAATGTAAAACTGTGCAGTTTTTAGGTCGATGTTCGGTTAACTGAAGTTAAATGATAGAATTTGGCTGTTGAATTTAACCAACGGTTAAGGACAATTAACCAGCTGTTAAAATGAAAACCGTTTGTGCAGTTTCCCGGTTGAAGTTCGTTTAACTGAAGTTAAACGATATAATTTGGTTGGTAAATTTAACCGGCGGTTAACAGAAATTAATCAGGCGTTAAAATGTAAAACCGTTTGTGCAGTTTCCCGGTCGAAGTTCGCTTAACTGAAGTTAAACGATGGAATTTGACTGGTTAATCTAACTGGTGGTTAACGGAAGTTTACCGGTCGTTAAAATGTAAATCCGTTCGTGCAGTTTTTAGGTCGAAGTTCACTTAACTGAAGTTAAACGATATAATTTGGCTGGTCAATTTAATCGGCGGTTAACTGAAAATTAACCGGCTGTTAAAATGTAAAACAGTTCGTGCAGTTTCCCGGTCGAAGTTCGCTTAACTGAAGTTAAACGATGGAATTTGACTGGTTAATCTAACTGATGGTTAACGGAAATTTACCGGTCGTTAAAATGTAAATCCGTTTGTGCAGTTTTTAGGTCGAAGTTCACTTAACAGAATTTAAACGATATAATTTGACTGGTAAATTTAACCGGCAGTTAACAGAAAATTAACCGGCCGTTAAAATGTAAAACCGATCGTGAAGTTTCCCGGTCGAAGTTCGCTTAACTGCAGCTAAACGATGGGGTTTGCTTGGTTAATCCAATCGGCGGTTAATGGGAATTAACCCGCCGTTAAGATGTTAAGCAAAGGATGAACTTTTTGACCGAGGTTGGTGGAACCGGGCATAATTCTCGAAGGAATTCTCACCTGGGAGTCATGAAGGTGGCGTATACGATACCCTCGTCGGGGTGATAAGCTGCGCCTTGTATCTCGTCGTAGTAAAATGGGAATTCCCCAGGTAACGAGCAGTTGAGTCGAGCCTTGCTGAATGTCGTCCAGGTGTCTCTCATCAGGGTCTGGCCCCCAGGGTCGTTCTTGCAAACTCGGGCTATCCTCGAGTAGATCCTCTGCAAATGATAAGAGAGGAACGCTATCAAGAACTCTGACTGATAAGCATAGGAATGACGGGCGAATTCCTAAATGAGCACTATTTGCGCGAGCATTCAGTTCGAGTACGTACGCGGATAAAAATAACGGCCTCAAGATGATGTGAAACACGTCGAAGAACTTGATCGACGTCGGTAAAGAAGATTTTTCAAAATACTTACGTTGCCTACGTTCGTTTTTATATTGACAGCTCTGGCGAATTATATTGGGTATTGTACTAAACGGCATACTCCATACATAGTTTTCATACAATAATTATAATGAAAAGGGTTATGAATTTCGTTTTTTTTTACAAATATATATGAATATTTATAGACGTGGATTATTTATCTATTGTACACTGGGAGACATCAATGCCCTCCCATCCTGCACAGGCGATGCTATATCTGCAGGGAAGCTTTCATGTCCACAATGTACACTGGGAGACATCAATGCCCTCTCATCCTGCACAGGCGATGCCACATCTGCAGGGGAGGCATTCATGTCTGCAATGTACACTGGGAGACATGAATGCCTTCCCATTCTGCACAGGCGATGTCGTATCTGCAGGGGAGGCATTCATGTCTCCAGTGTAGACTGGGAGACATGAATGCCCTCCCATCCTGCACAGGCGATGCCGTATCTGCAGGGGAGGCATTCATGTCTCCAGTGTAGACTGGGAGACATCAATGCCCTCCCATCCTGTACAGGCGATGCCGTATCTGCAGGGGAAGCATTCATGTCTGCAATGTACGCTGGGAGACATCAATGCGCTCTCATCCTGCACAGGCGATGTCGTATCTGCAGGGGAGGCATTCATATCCTCCAATGTACACTGGGAGACATCAATGCGCTCTCATCCTGCACAGGCGATGTCGTATCTGCAGAGGAGGCATTCATGTCCTCCAATGTACACTGGGAGACATCAATGCTCTCCCATCCTGCACAGGCGATATCGTATCTGCAGAGGAGGCATTCATGTCTGCAATGTACACTAGGTGTCATCAATGCCCTCCCATCCTGCACAGGCGATGTCGTATCTGCAGAGGAGGCATTCATGTCTGCAATGTACACTGGGAGACATCAATGCGCTCTCATCCTGCACAGGCGATGCCGTATCTGCAGGGGAGGCATTCATGTCCGCCATTGTACCTATCTACGACATACATGTCTAATGTCCATCAAGCCTTTCAGTATATCTAAATGAGAGTTCATAGATATCTATATATATCTTACGTACGTTCAATAAATATTAATATACGATTAATTTACGAATATTCCACGTTCAGCGGTGCCTGGGTTGTATGTAATATTTACCTTCCCACAATTGATGTACTCCACCGCCGATTCTCGAAATAGAAAATAGACGTGGTCTTCCGTCTCGAAGCTGACCACAAATTGGGGGTCGTTCAACCACCTGGAAAATGGAACGATGTATGGAATGTATATATATATATATATATATAAAATTGTAGTTGTAATAATAATAAAGTTATATAAAAAAAAATTTTAAACATATATATAATACATAAACTGACTCTTTCATATCACCTTAAGTAGAAAGAAAGTAATAGATAATTTAAGACGGATTACTAATGGTCACTTGAAATCCAGTTGCTCTTTATACGTTAACATTTTAATTAACAAGCCAGCTCAGAAATTGTAGAAACCAACCAGTTGCGAAATTAATCCCTAATTAATGGGCTGCAGTTCAAACGTGCATTTCTGTGATAAAGCTGTTTGCAATCTCGTTTGGTCTCCAAGAACGCGACAGAATGTTGCATTTAAGAATAAATAGCTGCCCTTGCCACAGGATCAGAGTTGAACATGTAGTAACTCATGTTCACTTGATGAACACATGGGAGAATTGGAATACTAGATTATATAGAAGTGTCCGATAATAATCGTGAAGTAAAAGAAATGTATTTTTAATATATGTTCATAAATTAAAAAGTATAATTTCTATACATGTTTACAAATTATTGAAACTGATTATATNCGCGAAAAGAAAGATGGCCGCCGTCGAGCGGAACGAAAATATTAGAAAAATTTAAAATAAAAAACATAATTTCTATACATGTTTACAAAGTATTGAAACTAAATATGTCATTGAGATTTTCAAGAAATATTTCAGATATCTTCGAATGAAATCTACAAGAAATCTTGAAAAATCTGTCGCTTGAGATATTTAGCAAAGATTACAAATAAATATTAAAAAATTATTCTATGCTACTAGGGGTATTACATACCTCGAGTCATACTGATGCGTCCTGAGACTGGGTGAGGCGAGTGTCCTGTAAATCGCAGGATCGGATCCTGAAAAATCCGTCGGTGCACCTGCGAATAAACCACCTGATGGCCCCCTAGCCAAAAGTGCAGTCACATTTGCATGCGGCGAATAAGGACACATTGCCACCCCGGAGACCCAACTTGTTACGCTGTTGATGTTTTCGATCTGCAAAATAAAAATCAGGAAATGTGATGTATGAGAATGTTTAGAACAACAAATGGTAGGTATATATTCTGTGTGGGTACTTTCATTTCGATGCCGTCCTTTTTATTTATAATTATTAACATTAATTGACGTTAGATATCGCCAGAAGATATCGTATTACGTCTTATATACGTATATGTTCTGTGTGGGTACTTTCATTTCGATGCCGTCCTTTTTATTTATAATTATTAACATTAATTGACGTTAGATATCGCCAGAAGATATCGTATTACGTCTTATATACGTATATAATACGTACATATTCTGTGTGGGTACTTTCATTTCGATTCCAAGTCCTTTCTATTCGTAATTATTAATACTAATTGACGTTAGAATCGAGCTGGTCGTTAGGTATTGCTAGTAGATATCGTACTATGTCTCATATACGTATATGATACGTAATATGACCTTATACACATATATGAGACGTATATGGTACCTGTACGGTCTGCGTGGGTACTTACATTTCGATGCCAAGTCCTTTCGGTTCATAATTAATAATATTAATTGACGTTAAAATCGAGTCAGTCGAACTTTTCTTGTCAAGTTGATTTTGTTTGGTTGTATGGTTCCGTTTTGAATACGAATCCGCAAGTAGCTAGGACGGAAGTACCGAGCAGCATTTACTCTGAGTGAGCTGCATCCCAGCATTTACTGATTAATGATGTTGTTAGCGGTGCGTTCAAGCGAGTAACGATTCTAGCTGCATACTGAAGGTAGACCAGGGCAGTTTTATGCCTAACGGAGCTTAACAGTGCCTGCCATCTCCTTCTATCTTTCTTCGCCTCTCTACTTTATGGTACACCATGTACAACGGCGGACATGAATGCCTCCTCTGCAGGTACGACATCGCCTGTGCAGGATGGGAGGGCATTGATGTCTCCCAGTGTATATTGTGGACATGAATGCCTCCCCTGCAGGTACGACATCGCCTATGCAGGATGGGAGGGCATTGATGTCTCCCAGTGTACATTGTGGACATGAATGCCTCCCCTGGAGATATAACATCGCCTATGCAGGATGGGAGGGCATTGATGTCTCCCAGTGTATATTGTGGACATGAATGCCTCCCCTGCAGGTACGACATCGCCTGTGCAGGATGGAAGGGCATTGATGTCTCCCAGTGTACATTGTGAACATGAATGCCTCCCCTACAGGTACGACATCGCCTGTGCAGGATGGGAGGGCATTGATGTCTCCCAGTGTACACCTTACGTGGCCGATCATTTTTTCTCGCCTTGTGCTTAGTTACTCCTCATTGCGTCGTTCCGCAAGACCGTTCTTCGAAGAACGCCTAATCGACTCCATGGAAAGTATTAAGATGATATGGAAGGTGCTGAGAAATTTAACACTGTCCATAAACTAAAATGCATCTATACTCTTTTTGGCGGGAACGTCATTTTGAATACTCAAGCGATAACATAACCTGGCGCATCCCGTTACCGTCATTTATATTTATGCTGAAGTCTTTTACAGTCTATGATGAGAATTATCCGAACTGAAGCGTTCCTTATGTCATTTCGGAAAAGTAATGATGAAGAAATCCAAGAAAAAGCGTCAAAATCCCGTGATTTCATGATTTAGGTACTCTAATAGACCAACTATGCCATCTGTGACGTTTAGCTGCAACTAAATGTTTGCTCTACAAAAATGTGTCTCATGAGGAAGCTAACATTCGTTCCCCCTACGGAGTGTATAGTGAAAGATAAGCCCGGGTCTTATCACTCCAAAGTACCATAGATTAGTGGTCAATTTACGTGGGCATTTTTATCAATGTGGTTCTTACCTCTCTCCATGTGCATTGCGGGCTGAAGGCATTTGTTCCACATGTGAAAAGGCTCTTGCCGTTGCTGAGCAAGACCTTGATGTAATTGTGACAGTCTTGAGCACTTTGACCCTTGTCTTGACAAACGGAAGCCTTGTCTGGGGGTGCTGGCCATGATGCGTGCTCCAAAGGTGTCAGCAATGTCAATGTTAGCCTGTATAGATTGTCCCTGGAAAACAAAATGGAAAGACATGTTTAATAATTGTAAAACATGTAGGTTTCAAAAGTCTTTTTCCATTGCTGAGCTTTGAAACGGCGTAAAATGTCAATAATACATCTCGAAGGCTGCTTTCAAACCCCCTTAATCAAATTGTTCAGGTTATCAGCTCATTTTCTTACAGTATAAGTTCTAAAAGTTTTCGTTTCCTAAGCTCTTGAACGGCGTAAAATATCAATAATACACTTCGGAGGCCGCTTTCATACCCCCTTAACGAAATTATTCAGGTTATCAGCTCATTTTCTTACAGTATAAGTTCTAAAAGTTTTCGTTTCCTAAGCTCTTCAATGGCGTAAAATATCAATAATACACTTCGGAGGTTGCTTTCATACCCCCTTAATCAAATTGTTCAGGTTATTAGTTCATTTTCTTACAGTATGAGTTCTTAAAGTCTTCGTTTCCTAAGCTCTTAAACGGCGTAAAATATCAATAATACACCTCGGAGGCTGCTTTCATACCCCCTTAATCAAATTGTTCAGGTTATCAGCTCATTTTCTTACAGTATAAGTTCTAAAAGTCTTCGTTTCCTAAGCTCTTAAACGGAGTAAAATATCAATAATACGACTTGGAGGTTGCTCTTATACCCCCTTAACGAAATTGTTCAATTAATCAGCTCTTTTCCTAGTCAAACTGTTCAGTTTACCAGCTCTTTTTCTCTCGGTGTAGGATTTAAAAGTCTTTTTTCGTTGCTAAGCTCTGAAACGGCGTAAAATATCAAAATACATCTCGGAGGCCGCTTTCATGCCTCATTAACAAAATTATTTAGTTAATCAGCTCTTTTCCTAGTCAAACTGTTCAGTTTACCAGCTCTTTTTTCTCTCGGTGTAGGATTTAAAAGTCTTTTTTCGTTGCTAAGCTCTGAAACGGCGTAAAATATAAAAAAAACCCGGCGGACGCTTTCATATCCCCTTAAAGAAACCTGAAACGATTTCTCAAGGTCGTCAAGAAAGAAGGACGAAAAGCGGCACCCGTTCGATTCTTGGACTCTTCAATTCGCGGAAGCAGTTCTTATCAGCATTTCTTCTAAAGCTCCAGTTGCATAAATATTATAGACATAATGTTCTAAAGTAAACGTTTATCAAATATTTCAAATGTCCGGTAAATATTTACAAAATGCACGATATTCGTTAAATATATAGAAAGTATAGGACAAATATTTTGCGCTACTAGTATAGAAACGATTTTCCAAGGTCGTCAGGAAAGAAGGAAGAAAAGCGGCACCCGTTCGATTCTTGGACTCTTCAATTCGCGGAAGCAGTTCTTATCAGCATTTCTTCTAAAGCTCCAGTTGTATAAATATTATACAGATAATATTCTAAAGTCCAATAGTTCAGAGATAATATTCTAAAGTAAACGTTTATTAAATATTTCAAATGTCCGGTAAATATTTACAAAATGCACGATATTCGTTAAATACATAGAAAGTATAGAACAAATATTTTGCGCTACTAGTATAGAAACGATTTTCCAAGGTCGTCAGGAAAGAAGGAAGAAAAGCGGCACCCGTTCGATTCTTGGACTCTTCAATTCGCGGAAGCAGTTCTTATCAGCATTTCCTCTAAAGCTCCAGTTGCATTTTGTCGCAACTCTTTCGAGCCTTGGAAGTTGCATTCGAGCCGCACGTGCGGTTGCATTCGTTAGTTCGGTCAAAGTGTTCAGCAGGAAGAAACAGCCAGAGCTGGGATCTCGATTAATTCGGACTTCCCTGAAGGAACCTCACTTCGAGTCGCACGTGCAGTTGCATTCGGTTGACTCGGAGCAGTACGAGAAGCAAAAGGAATGCATTTGCGCATTGCAGTCGGTGTTAAGGTGAAGTGAAACCCCCTTCAAATCAGTCGATTCGAATACAACACTTTTTATTAAGTGTATTAGACCAAACTGTCCGAAACTTTGACACATCACTCTTGATCATCTAAGAATTGTCCTGACACATACAAAATTTGGATTTTGTAAACCAATTTTTTAATTCAGCCCAGACCAGAACCAAAATGGCGTCGAGCTCTCATATTTCGATCGATATACAATTATCGAAGGCTCTGATATGAGAATCGAAAGGATCGGGACAATTTTACGACAATTTTACGACAATTTAGAACACTCTGGTAATCGATAAACTCGCATTTCAACGGGATAAAGGCAAAAAAAGTGTCTTATGCGCTTCTATGCTAAAACGATGGAAATACGAGGTCTCGGAGTGAACATTTAATTGACCTGGAAATCACAGATGGCGCAGGGGGTCCCTCTGCAGTCAATTAGGGCCTCAGAAACCATGAATCCAGAGGATTTCTGGAGTTTTACTTGGATTTCTCTATAATTACAGATTAGTCAGTACAATATCGAATATAATTCGACACAGCTGTCGATATAAAAACGTAGGTATTTAGGGAAATCTTTTTTATCGATGTCCATCAAGATCCTCGACTTGTTTCAACGTCACCTTAAGGTCGATGAATGACGTCAAGCTCTCATATTGCGATCGATATCCAATTCTTGAAGGCCGTAATATGAGAAACAAAAGGGTCAGGACAATTGTACGACAATTTAGAACACTCTGGTAATCGATAAACTCGCATTTGAAAGGGATAAAGGCAAAAAAAGTGTCTTATGTGCTGATACGCGGAAACGATGGTAATACGAGGTCTCGGAGTGAAAATTTAGCTGACACGGAAATCACAGATGGCGCAGGGGGTCCTCTGCAGTCAATTAGGGCATCAAAAACCACGAATCCAGGAGATTTCTGGAGTTTTACTTCGATTTCTTGATTTTTATTGTACGAAAACGACAGGTGGAGTATGCCATTTGGTACAATACCCAATATAATTCGGTATAGCTGTCGATATAAAAACGAACGTCGGCAACGTAGGCATTTAGAAAAATCTTCTTTATCGACGTTGATCAAGTTGTTCGACGTATTTCACTTCACCTTAATTTCTACGATCACAGATGGGGCAGGGGGTCCCTCTGCAGTCAATTAAGGCATCAAAAACCACGAATCCAGGAGATTTCTGGAAATTTACTTGGATTTCTTTATAATTATTGTACGAAAACGACAGGTGGAGTATACCATTTGCTACAATGTTCAATGGAATTCGACACAGCTGTCGATATAAAAACGAACGTCGGCAATGTAGGCATTTAGAAAAATCTTCTTTATCGACGTTGATCAAGTTGTTCGACGTATTTCACTTCACCTTAATTTCTACGATCACAGATGGGGCAGGGGGTCCCTCTGCAGTCAATTAGGGCCTCGAAAACCATGAATTGAGAGGATTTCTCAGTTTTACTTGGATTTCTTTATAATTATGCACCTTTAGACGCAAGAGCGCCTAAAGGCGCTCTTCTAAGACGCTAAGAAGTAGCCACAGGGTTAAAAAAGAATGTCTTATTCAAATCGACTGATTTGAGGGGTGTTTCACTTCACCTTAAATGGACAGAAAATAAAACGAGGAAATATCCTGGTTTTACATGAACCTTAGGTAATTACTGTACGTCGTTCGATAAATTGCCTCAAGATAGGTATACTTGCACCCAGGAGTGCATCGCTTCTGTGAACTGATTGGTTATCAATGAATAAATTAACCATTCCCCCTTATCGTGATAAATACTCCTGGGCGGAAGGAAGATTAGTGTAACGGGTTTCGGAATTTTCCTGGGGGAAAATTATCCAGGATGCCGCTTTGTATTTTTTATCGAATTTACATGACACGGCCATCAGCTGGATAAAAATCCAGGGGCTCTACTTACATCAACATTAACATCAACTATTTAACTTATTTAACATCAACCTCATTCCCGCGAAATGAAAAACGAAGTTCCTAGTATAACCCTTCCCTTCCTCAGCAATCGCAACGCCCTGGATGCCATTCAGGTTTTTCCCCATGGGAAGTTCCAATCCTATCCCTGGAATTCCCTTGAAGTTCCAAGAACATCGACTCCATTTCCGTGAAATGAAGAACGAAATTCCTAGTATAACCCTTCCCTTCCCAGCAATCGCAACCCCCTGGATACCATTCAGGATCTTCTCCTCAGTGTTCCCCATGGGAAGTTCCAATCCTATCCCTGGAATTCCCTTGAAGTTCCAAGGAAAACATCAACTCCATTTTCGCGGAATGAAAGACGAAGTTGCTTGCATAACCCTTCCCTTCCACAGCAATCGCAACGCCCTGGATACCATTCAGGATCTCCTCCTCAGTGTTCCCCATGGGAAATTCCAATCCTATCCCTGGAATTCCCCTGAAGTTCCAAGAACATCGACTCCATTCCCGCGAAATGAAGAACGAAATTCCTAGTATAACCCTTCCCTTCCCAGCAATCGCAACCCCCTGGATACCATTCAGGATCTTCTCCTCAGTGTTCCCCATGGGAAGTTCCAATCCTATCCCTGGAATTCCCCTGAAGTTCCAAGAACATCGAGTCTATTCCCGCGAAATGAAGAACGAAGTTCCTAATATAACCCTTCCCTTCCCAGCAATCGCAACCCCCTGGATACCATTCAGGATCTCCTCCTCAGTGTTCCCCATGGGAAGTTCCAATCCTATCCCTGGAATTCCCCTGAAGTTCCAAGAACATCGACTCTATTCCCGCAAAATGAAGAACGAAGTTCCTAGTATAACCCTTCCCTTCCCAGCAATCGCAACCCCCTGTATACCATTCAGGATCTCCTCCTCAGTGTTCCCCATGGGAAGTTCCAATCCTATCCCTGGAATTCCCCTGAAGTTCCAAGAACATCGACTCCATTCCCGCGAAATGAAGAACGAAGTTCCTAATATAACCCTACCCTTCCCAGCAATCGTAATGCCCTAGATACCGTTCAGGATCTCCTCATCAGTGTTCCCCATGGGAAGTTCCAATCCTATCCCTGGAATTCCCCTGAAGTTCCAAGAACATCGACTATTTAACTTATTTAACATCAACTCCATTCCCGCGAAACGAAAAACGAAGTTCCTAGTATAACCCTTCC